GTATGTATATACATTTTGCTTATAGAGTGGTGTAGTTCGTTGCGTAAATTGACAGCTGTGGTGACATTTTATTTTCGAACTTGCGCGTTTTCGATGTTCCTTCTTAGCAATTAACATTTTAGTACTGCTAACATTTGCTCCTTCTCTACTCTTCAACATTCTCTGCCTTAAGACGCTTAGCAGAAACTTTAAAGTAAAATGTTAGAAACAGGGCCACAGAACTTTTTTCGCTTATAAAGAATTCAAATCAGTTACGTTATATATTTTGTTAAAAGTGAAACTAAAATTTATTAGATTTAATATATTTCTTTTTAATTGACAATCTACAAATTTGCATTTAATAGATGTATGTGACGTCATAGGTATCGTATATTGTCGGCTACTTAATATTGTCTGCACAAATAATTTCAGTTGTTGCAAAGAAATTCAACACATACTGTCATCTTCGACACTTCTCTTCAAGCTATCTTTGTGCGCTAATCTGTTGTCAAAAAAAAATGCAATAAAAAAGTTTGCAATCAGCAATGCATCCAAATTTGGTTTTAAAGATTTTAAGATTTCTTTATAGCAACTTATTAACATTCTCTGATAAGATGGTGCCATTGAAGATGAATTATGAATTTTATTGAATTAAATTTTAAAAATTGATGGTAATATTTCTTTCGTTTATAGCACAACCCGTAAAATGGTTAAGGGAATTCCCCTAATTTACATGCAATAAGATTAATTCCTGTACAGTCATACCTACTTAATTAAAACTAAAAAATTAAGGAGGGGCTCGGATCGGGTGCAGTCGAACATTATACTCTAACAATTCGTAGGAATGAAAAGTGTGGTAATATGGTAAGGTCACAGCAAAACTTTATAATAAACAAGTAAGGAAGCTCTAAGTTCGGGTGTAACCGAACATTTCATACTCTTGCAACTTGTCAGGATTAAAGTTGGGGACATACTTACCTTATGCACAACGATACATTGTTATTAGAAAAACACGCTCTTTCAATTTGACATATTGACCGATATTTGCGGTATAAAGTCAGCCGGCAGTTCGAAAATGTTTCTATTATGCATATGGAGACTCAAAGGCACTATTTATGCGATTTTCATCTGGATTGGTTCTTGTTTTGTATACTGGAAAGTGAAAGAATCAGATAGTATTTAAAATTGTGTTATATGAAAAGAAAGTTTTGTAGCTGTAATGTAAAAAATCACAATAATATTATGTACCGAAATTGGTTGAAATCAGTCGAGTAGGTCCCGAGATATGAAGGCTCCTTACAAGATCTTCATTCCGATCGTTCAATTTGTATGGCAGCTATATGATATTGTGTTCTGATCTATACAATTTTTGCCGAGAATACATAGTTGCCTTAGAAGATAACTCATGTCAAATTTTGTGAAGATACCTCGTCAAAAAAAGTTTCCCATGAAGTACTTGATTTCGATTGTTCAGTTTGTATGGCAACTATATGCAATAGGGGTCCGATATCGATTTCACATAGATAGCTTAAAAACTGAGGGACTAGTTTATATATATACAGACGGACAGACAGACGGACAGACAGACGGACATGGCTAAATCAACTCAACTCATCATGCTGATCATTTATGTATATATTTGTGTTACAAACTTTGTGGCAAACTTAATATTCCCTGTTCAAGGTATAAAAATATATGGAGCTACATCCGCCAACACGGGGACTCCAATAAAACGCAGGTCCATTCTGTTTTAGTGGAGATCAAAATCAAAATCTGTATTTATTTCTATAAGTACTTATGTTTATACATTTACAATTCTTAATTTTTATGCTAATTTTGTCATAATGCTTTGTAATAAAATGGCAAAACGTGGAATATAACTTTACTATACATACATACTTATATCGAAACAAAAGATTTATTATCAAAACAAATAATATATCAATTCGTTATGTAAATATATAAAAATAGAATGGATTTCAATTGCGTAGCTGCATAAATGCAATGTGCGAAGGAACGCGGTTAATACATGTTGCAAGAGTAAACATTCGGTAATAGACGAAATTATGAACCGATTACAGCAACCAGAATTAGTGAAATCATTACATTGCTTATATGGGAGTTAAAGGAAAATATGGGATGATTCCATCTATCTACTTACTTTCAGATCCAAACTAGAGTATGACTAAAACAATTTATTCGCTTAATTTTGTGAAGGTATACTGGTAAAACTGGGGGAATTGTAAACAAGTTTCATGGCCATAAAATTTCCTTAAGCGAAAACCTGAAAGTATAAGAATTAAACCACTAATTAAGATTTAAAATTTTAATAGTTCCGTCTCTTAATAGGTTTATAACTATGGAAATATGTAACTCACAAACCACTGAAGCTATAATCTATACTCGCAGAGGACAAATCCTCCCAGCAACTTCACATATAAAGTGAAAGTGGATAAAATCGGATGATAACCACGCCATAAGTACCATATCAACCATAACTTGAAAACTACTAAAAGTATGATCACCCTCATTTCATAGCAAAAAAACGAACTTCCGATTGACTTTATGCTATATAAGTATGTATGTATATCGGGCAACTTGTGAGGTCATAGTGTATCGTGATGCCAAAAATTGATAAAAACAGGTCAGCTGCCATACACCAAACTTCCAGTCGGCTTTATACCGTATATTATCGATCACTAAGCTAAATTTCTTACCAAAATTTAGTGAACTTGGAATATTGTATGTACTATGGTTTGCCTTTGGATCTTACGAATTGAAATATTTATAATATGTTCGTTAACACCCGAACTTTCTGTTCAAATGAGTTTACATTCAGCCCGCCTGCTTTGCTATAAACTAGTACTAGCATTATGCTTACCAAACGGAACGAGAACGTGCTCCTTTTTCAAATCAGTAGACGAAATCGGGAAACGTCACGATCAAATCTCATGTAACGGTTAATTACTAAACAGAGGAATAACTCAAATGACGACAGTTTCATGTTTATCTAGCACGGATACACATGTACATATACCGAAAAAATTTTATTTCTGTTTTATAATATACTATACTAGGCGCCCTCCGCTGCGCTCCGGGACGCTCGCTCTTATGTTAGTTGATTCTCGACAGCAGCAGAAAACTTTTATATATAATAGAGAGATATTCATAAGGTTTCACTTATTCACGTTTCACTGTACTTACACTAGACTTTTAAGTTGAATATTTGATAATTTCTTTGAAACTGGAGCTTTAGTTTTGCGCCGATCGTTGACTTGTACGTTTATGCTGTTTGCTTTAATCTAACTTTTGTTTTGTTAAAGTGTACAGATACATTAGAAATTAAATATTAATAAAAAAATATTGGTGCAGCAAAATTTACCTAAATAAGTTTAAAGTAAAATTGTAGAAAAATGAACAAAAAGTATAATAAAACAAAAAAGGTAATTTTGTAAATAATGCTAACATATTCTAAGTGCAAATGTGTGTGTGTTTTTCGTTGGCTAGAATTGATTCCGAATAATAGTTGTGTCTGCCTATTCATCCGTGTAACAAAATCTTGCGTGAAAATTAAGGTGAACTTGATGAAAATTGTATGTATTCCTTTGGCGCTCCATTGGGAATTAGCGTAAATGAACCATTGCCACGCCCACAACATAGTGTTTTCGTAAAGGATATTACGATAAAGTGCAAAAAGTATTTAATTAAATTAATTTGGAAAGGTTAACTAGACACCCACGAAAAGTTTTGAAATTTTCTTCATTTTTTTTTATTTTACCGCCCACGTTTAGATGAAACACTATATCTCGATAACTATGGAAGACAGTAATCCATACATATTTGTAATGCAAACAGCATTTTTATGACGAATTTTAGAACACATAAATATTATGAAAACATACATGTAAGGAAGAGCTAAGTTTGTATACAGTCGATCAATACATGTATGTACATACATATGCATGTGTCATGCAGTTTGTAGATAATTTTTTGGCGTTGAATGGTTTTATGCTTATCGATAGCTGCTCGCTTAATTTTTTGAAAGGTCTTTCACTAAGCGATATCTACGGTATAAAGTAAAACAGAGGAACGGAAATCTATGTATATTAAAATCTAATATTTGTATAGTCTAAACCGATTTTTAGAAAAAATTGGACCCTTATATTATATATGTACTTTAATGTGTTATATACAGTGAGAAGGCCATAAAAAAATTAATTTTCCAGAAGTTTTTCTGAGAGAATTTATTGATCCAAAAATGTATAGACATATTATGGTATCTTTTAACTACAATGTATTTTAAGACTTAGTACTAGTAAGAATATTTATTTGGAAAAGAGCTTCAGCTGATCTCCGGGAGCTCCTCTCAAAAAAGACGTTTTGCGGTGACCACTGTATCTCTGAACTGTATCATCAGATTTCGTTAAAGTAATGTTAAATCTAGTAATTAATCCAAGGAATAAGCAGAATATTTTTTCGATTCTTCGGCTCCTCGAAATTTCGGACTCAAATTGTTTATAAGAACAAAAACATTGATCGGAGAAAAAAAATCTTTGATTAATAACTAAAAAATATATTTAAGAAGCTCCTGTTAAAATTTGAGACTAATCGGTTTAGCCGTTAGTCACCGGTTTAGTTATGTTAGTCACCGACTTTAAAAACACCATTCTGAGAAAAACGCGCTGCCACTCCAGCCTTGTACCTCCAAGCACTCTGAAACGCCTTTTTAAATTTGCGTATAACTTCGAAAATATTCACCGGAATGATATGAAATTTTTTTGTGTGTATTCCTAAATATATATACATAAAAAAGAAATTGAAAATTGTAACTGTTTGTAACCCCTTAAGTATCATCTTATGTAATTTCATTGAGTCAACTAGTGTAAAGTTAAATAACCTAATGTCATTTATAGTAAATGGGCGTGGTTTTGATCTGATAAATAAAAAAAATTAACAGCGTTAAAATCAATTTAGATGTATGTTATATGCTAAATTTAAAATCGGTTCAACAGTTCCGCCGATGGGAAGTATTGTGGTTATCAGCCGATTTTGATCACGCGATTTACTTACATTCATTCATCTTGTTTAGTTGTACGCACTACCAGTAAGCGTAAGGTGCACAAAATTAATATACTCTGATGGAACTTGTTGCAAGAGTATAAAAATTGGGCTATCATAACTAAAAGCGATACCTACAACGACATAAGAGATAAACAATAACAATTCGAATAAGCTACGTAAACATATTGTATAAATGTTTGTTTTTTTTAGCTTTTATTCAAGCTTAAATATAGAATTTATTCATGTTTGTCAAAAGAAAAAACAAGAAAGAACGTTAACTTCGATTGCACCGAAGCTATATGTACTAGATACCCTTCACAAATAAAAAAGTTTTCCACACAAGAACTTAGTTTTGATCGGTCAATTTGTATGGCAGCTATACTACAGTTGTCCGATCTAAACAATTTGTTCGAAAATTTAACCGTTGCCTTGGACAATCCTATATTAAACCGATATCATCGGTTCCGACAAATGAGCATTTTACTTGACAGAAAAAGACGTGATATCTCAATAAACTGACGGACTAATATGTTTATATACAGACAGACGGTCATGGCTAAATTGACTCAACACATCACGCTGTTCATTATGCCCTGTGCAAGGTACATTCATATGTATATGTATGTACATACATATGTATGTTAAGTTTGCCACGAAGTTTGTAACACCGAGAAGGAAACGTAGGAGATCCTCTAAAGTAAATATGAATGTAAGTACATATGTACATATACACCAAAGCTATAATACCGTTTACAAATAAAAAATTTTATTATAAAAATGTTGCGGCATTCATTATTCGACAGAGCGATCAAGATCGTATTGTGCACCAAATCTGATTGCTGAGATATAGCATTTCACCTATGTAAAAGTGGACAGTCTCACGCCCATTGTCCAATTTTTACACTGAGTCCTATACAGCCTTTCCGTGCCACCTCGGATATGAAATTTAATATTTCTGACGTACATACATACGTATTTATTTAGTGAGTTACGGTTATCTTAAGATATGTCATTAATTTTCAAACGTAACATATGAGGAAAAAGACTTACCAAAGCGAAGCGTCGGCGCCACAACCGTACGAAATTACAGGTTTAAATCTTGGTTTGTGGATTTTTTGCTCTTGTACTCTGTTGCTATATGTTGCCAGAGTATAAAAAAAGATAGCTAAAATATTGTAATGTATAAACTATAAAGCTTCAACGAAATATTGTGATTCCCAGAAATTAACAACCGTTACACAATATTTCGTGCCGTGAATATTCCGCACGGGATTATTGCAAACTGTACACCGATTTATAGTCTTTCGTTGAATAAAAAGCTTATGTTAACTTCATAATTACTTAGTTTAGAACCACGTTTTGTCGGTGATTTTGTTCCCTGTGCGCATTACGCTCTTTATCTGTAAAAGGGACCAGTTTACCTTGAAGTGGAAATGTGTCGCAGACCCTCCAAACTTTCAGAGTGTACTTTGCTTGTTTCGATGGCACATATAATACATACATATGTTCAAGTATTAAGTGAAACACGTTCGCCCACGATATGGAAATAATTGTTCATCAATTGTGATGACATCGCATTCGTTATGTCACTTCTCTCCGCGATAATGATTTTAAGCTAGAAACTCTATAACAGGCGTGCTAAAACCGAAGAATTTGAATTTTAAAAGCAGTGACTTGAAGATAATTAACGGGTGATCCAAATAGATGTACTTTTTTCAATAGCCCTGTTTTGGCGGATCACGCGTGAGTCGTGTCAAGCTGTCATGTTATTTTTGTTCAATATTATTTGGCATTTCATCATGGAAGGACGTCTGAACAACGTTTATAAATCATTCAACTTCATTACGAAAATTCACGTTCTGTAATGAATGTGTTTTGCGCGCTTCGCTCAACTTATGGTCAACATAATCGGCCACCTGAGCATACTATTCGCAACATCATCACCCATCTTGAGACTCAGCATTCATTATTGGATAATATTCGACCGAATAGACCACGTCCAGCACGCAGTGAAGAAAATATGTTTTAGAAGCAATGTTTTGTTAAAGATTTACTATATAAGGGCTGCCAGATTGTGCAGCAGATACAGTTCTACTTAGAGTGTAGTCTAGTTAAAAGCAATTAAGACATAAGCAAGAAGTTGTAAGCTCGAATAACGAGCAATAAGTGTTAAGTTGTTGGAACTAGAAATAAAGATAAGTGTATAGCCATTAAATTGGGACTTTTATTTAACAATCCAGGGATCGAAGAGTGATGTTGAGTTAGACGAATTATGGAGAAATCCGTTATAATATACAATATAATCATATGTCCACAAATGTTATATATATTCCATTTTTTATAGAGCGTTCCTGAGGTTGTGGAGAAACCTTTAACAATTAGCACTGGCAAGACCTATGCAGATATATGTTCTAATTTTAAGAATAAACTTAATATCAAAGAAGATGTGGAAAAGGCACCAGGGTCGGGAGCGCAAAAGCCTGGTCCTAATCTTCCGTATTATCGTATTTTTGAACAACCATATTTCGGGTAATCAAATATTTCAAAGTATAACTTGTTTTAAATTTTTTTTTTTAATATTCTTTTTTTTCAAAGAAATTTCACAATAGTCGAAGACCTGGCATATTATTATCCAACAGATAAAATGAAGGTTGCTCAAGGGAATCGGTTTAATAGTGAATTTCTGGCACACGGTGACAAAGTGATAGAGTGAGTGTGAGAATTTGAGCATATTTTAAACTGGCATATATTTACAAGTTCCTATTGCTTAAAAAAATCCTTACGTTACATTACGTGATAATCCCTTAAACGTTTATAATATGAAACAAAAACGAAAATTTTTAAAGAGATACGAAAAAAGATCTATCTATATTATTAAAATATATTTTTCTAATTGCTGTCATTTTAAATATAAACTAATATTTTTTCAGAGACTATTTAAGCACAAACGAATTAACGTCAAACAACATTTGTAAGATATTTCAAATGCTCATACAAATAGAGGATCTTCACACTATGTTGTCGTATTGCAATGTATATCTCGAAAATGTGGTAGTAAGTAATACTACAAGTGAAAAGTATTTAAAATTCAATGTAAGTGGGAAAAGTTAACCAAATATCATATCATCAATAGTTATGTAAATGTTCATATAAGTATATATTAGGGTGGGTCAAAATATAACGAATATCTTTATGCGCTTTGTACTCTAAAAAATAGGTTCTGAGACACTTCTAAGAAAGACTTTGAGTATGAGCTTTTAATTGAAACGGGAAGGTACTCCGTCTTACAGTTTTAATTTTTTTCTTATTATCAGATAGAAAAATTCAAATCTCGCTTCCAACTACTTGAAAAAATATCTCTTTTCATGGATGTAGGAAATTGAATGCTCTACAAAAAGGTCTCTGACGATTTTTTCATAAATCTAACCGTTTGTAAGATATTATTGGTTGAATTTTTAATATTTATCTTATGAAATTTATAACTCAAAGAAAAAAATAATTATAAATTGGAACGGTTGAAGTTTGATTATTTTAAGGCAAATTTTTTTTCTTATAAATTTTATAATTCAATGAAAAAAATCATTGTAATTTGGAAAACTCACAGTTTTGTAGGAAATTGACTGCTTTCAAAAAATGGTTTTATACTTTTCCCAGTACCAAGCGGAAAAAATTTTTTTTGCAACCCAACCTAATATGTATTGTAGTGTTCACTTCTATTCCTCAAGTAGTAATTATTTATTTATTTCGTATTTATGATTTACCGTTTAAAACCCGATAGTACAAAGTCAATACTATACATATACATATGTACATATTTGTTTATTCACACCAATTGCTTTAATTTTGTAGATAAACGTACCATCACATATTAATATTGATGAAATACTCAACCCTATAATGGATGAGGTGGTCTTTGTGCCTCTTATGAGCCGTGCAATGTCACAAAATCAACTTAATTATCCCGTTGATCTACTGTTACACCATCCACACGAGGCACTCGACAGCGGTGCCGAACTTTTTCGAGAAGTCGGTATACTCGATAAACTGGAGGGACAAACCGCTTATGTGGAATGTTCTAATCCACGATTTAATATTACTAAAAAATATGATATTATATTTCGCTCACATCGTGTACATGTTCGTTATCAGCATCGTGCATTGGAATTGTTAAATGAAGTTCGTCGTGACTATCTTTTTCCTAACAGAAATCCTTATAAACAAGAGTTCACCAATGTTGTTAAGTAAGTGTTAATTTTGTATGTTTTTCCGGGCAGAATTTAGAAATTGTTTTACATATGTATGTACAGGTTGGTCGAAAATAGAATGAAACGACGCAAGAAATCGGTTTTATTTTGCTTAAAATGCTCCAAATTATGCTGAGAAGTTTGATTTCGATCCTATCTGAAATACTCTTTAGCATTACATTAGCAATTTTAGGCTTAGTCAAACATGGGTCTTCATCAACAATATTATGAACTTGCTTAATGCTTTCTGGTGTGGTTACGGTTTTTGGTCGTCCTGCGCGTCGATCTTCTTCAAGCCTAGTACGACCACGCTTAAATTCACCAGCCCAAAATTCAACGGTGAGTTTTGAAAGCGAGGACTCCTTATACACTTCGAAACTTTGTTCATAAATTTCCTTTCCTTTTAAACCTTTCAACACAAAGAATCTAATCACTGCGCGATATTCAATTTTTTCCATATTAAAATACTACACTGACACGTCAACTTCAAATGTCTTGTAAACAAAGAAATAATTGACAGAATGACTTGTAACTTTGCATGTGTCTACACGACAGACGTAACAACTTCAGAAAAACAAAATTTGGAGCTAGTAGTGCTATTTCTTGGTGAGCACTACTCACTTTTAAACCTACCTGTATAAAAACAAGTAAGGAAGAACTGAGATAAGCCCTAGCCGAAGATTTTATTCAATCACAGTTTGCAATGCTTAAAAGACTGGGTTTCAGGTCTTAGTAAAACTTTATATCAGATCAAATTTTATAGCGAAAATGATTACAATAGAAACGTATGCATATACTCGTATTTACATGTATGTACATATATAATTCAATAGCCGATTTCACTCATTTTCGGAAACATAGTAAAATAATCAGATGGAATTTAAAACTGTGTTATATGGAAAGTAGGCTTGGTTGTAGTCGGCTTTTTCCCGTTTTCACACTGTAACAATAAGATGTCCGGATATTGTTAGGCACCAAATTTGGTCGAAATTGTTCGGGTAGTTGGGATTTCATCTAAAAGTGGGGGATGTCACGTTCATTGCCCATTCTATTACACTGTTGGCCATGCCTTCCCTTCCTTACCCTTCATTGCCATCTTTACTTTCATGCTTCTAAAAAACAAAGAAAATGTTTTCAGCGAGCCTGTTTGATATAGATTTAGCATTTTGTGAGATATACATACATAAAGCCTTTTAGGGGGATGGGCCACGTCTACTTTCCAAACAATTTTCAACGACAGATTCCACTCTCTACGGTGATTATATTAAAGAAACTAATTATTTTCTATTGCTACTACAGATTAAAACTAATTAATGGGCAGATTTTTGAGAATCCCGAACAATTACAAGCTGTGCAGCAGATTGTCGGCGGTGCAAATCCCTTTGCGCCATACATAGTTGTTGGGCCACCAGGTAAACGTTTTTATTTGTAGCTTGTAATAATATACGTATAATATATACTTATATATAAGATATTATACACATATGTATACTATATACTTATATATAAGATATTATACACATATGTATACTATATAGTACATACACATACCATACAACTTTTTCAATTGCATCAGCCTACGAAGACGTCCCTATAAGTATGATATTTACCATACAAAAAACGAAAATTTTGGAAAAGACGACAATTTACACCTCAATATATTGTATATTCGCTCTAGCTCAAGAAACTTGACCCAAGTATATTCTAGTATGTTAACCTAAAAATATATATTTTATAAAGGTTTGCAAAATCGGCCATCATGACGGCGATGAGCTCCTCATTTGACTCAAATTTCTACCAAGTGAGTGACTTTTTCAAGTTTGGAAAGTTTTGTCGTTTCGACGGCTAAATAGTTCGGAATAGTAAAACCCTGTTACATCGAAGGTGAAGAATTACAGTCTAAGTAACTACATGCTCCAAGCGCACTATTTTCAATGCGCGATTTCTCATCCAAAAACTAGAATCGAGTCCATTATTGTTCTTCTTTAATTTTTATAAAATCCGCGGACACGCCCGCTTCCATGCTCAGTAAAAATAAATCTACTAGTTTGATTCGACTGAATTTTGGACAGTAGCTGTTTACACATTAGTAAATTTCGCTTATTTTTCAAAAATGTGTACGCAAACATTCTCTATTGACTAATATTTTTATATGATTCCCCATGTAGGTACCGGAAAAACGACCACAATCGTCGAAGCTATTTTACAGCTTTACATTAATCGACCCAAATGCCGCATTTTAATTACTGCCAGTACAAATTCGGCTTGTGACACAATCGCTTTGAAATTATGTGAACTATTTGAAAATAATCTATTACTCCGAAAACTATCTTTACAACGCAGAGGTGTTAACTTTATGGGACGTCCCAAACCGCCCACCCATATGTTACGTGTATTTTCAAAATCACTGTGTAAGAAAGGTATGAAAAATATCAACCGAAACCTTTTGGAGCATTCGAATTTTTGCAAACGTGAATACAAATCGCCATCTGTGAGTGTATTACAAAACTACAACATAATTATAGTGACACTCATTACCATGGGTCGTTTGCGTACCGGCACCAATGGCGATTGGCCATTTTCGCATGTTTTTATTGATGAGGCCGGTGCCACTACGGAAACGGAAGCATTGATTGCTATCACAAGTGTGAATACGAAATATTGTCGTGTAATCTTATCGGGAGATACGAAACAATTAGGACCGGTTATCATGTCACGGGTAGCCGCTGAACTTGGTCTTAAATATTCGCTGATGGAACGCTTGCTCGAACGTAATTGTTATGCCGTCAATACGGATGGTACTTATGATTACACATTACAAACACGTTTGAAACGCAATTTTCGTTCGCATCCGGCAATTGTCAATATCTATAATCATCTCTATTATGATAATGAATTATTAGCAAAAGTCAATTTAGGTGAGTTCAATTGATTGCGGCAATCAAGAAAAAAAATTGCATTTAAGAGCTGTCAGAAAAGTTTTTACTCTATTTGTGAAAAATGCAATCATATTCTTTTAATTTCGCAAATAAGGATTTAACTTTAATTTATCTTCGATTGCAGTCTGGTATTGGGTACTATTGAAAAGTTAAGCTGTCTATCATTTTTTTTTTATGACCTTTAATTTTATCATCAAAATGCGTTCTATCTCAAATTTAACATGTCTACGGAATTGCAAAACTTTGAAATGGAAGAAATGGACAATTTTTTAATGTAATTTAATTTTTTCGTTGCATAAAGAACTGTGAGAAATTAGGAGTTAATTTTCTAAAATTCTCTTAATTGCTCAATAAGTAAATTTTGTTATTGTATGTTACAATAATATGAAAGAAATTAAGAGTTAAGTTACTAAAACTTAATTAATTGCATAATTAGTTAATTGTAATATTGTATAGTAAATTGAGAGTTATTTTTTCTGGTTTTAGTTTATTATTTACATAAAAAATAAATTGAGAAAAATTATGATTTAAACTGTTCAAGTTATTATATTTGTTCCATTTGTTAATGACTTTATTTTGAAATAATTAAATATTTGAAATTATTTAAATTGTCAAATTGGTTAATGATTTTATTTTATCGTGAATTGAGTAAAAGTATGCATTAAATTACTGAAAATTTCTTGACTGCTCGATTAGGAATTTTTTTTGGACATAAAACATAAATACGAGTATTTTTGTAAATTTTTTTATAAGACTTTGAATATTTTACCCAATTATTTTTCATATACATATATACTATAAACTTCTTTTCTCTATTTTCAGCTAATTTGTTTAGTTTGCAAAACTTGACTATTTTGAAGAATAAAAACTGGCCAGTGATCTTTATAGCAGTGGCTGGTAAACTTGGCAAATCCTCAACATCATGCAGTTCCTTTAATCAACTGGAAATCAATACAGTCGTTCAGACAATTCAACAGTTGGGGGTAAAACCAAACGATATTGGAGTAATTTCTCCATACAAATTACAATGTACATACATAAAGCAAAATTTACAGAAGAAAAATATACAAGGTGTTGAAGTGGGTACAGTTGAGCTATTTCAAGGGCGAGAGAAGCCTATAATAATTGCCTCATTTGTTAAGTCATTTTGTAATTTAGGCTTTACCGCCGATCCGAAGGTACGCAGCAATATTTAAAAATATTTCTATAGCTATACATATGTTCAAGTAGTTTGAGTCGATCTAAGCTAATGTGAACACCGACCTTGGTTTAATACGACTTTAACTAATATGAACTACATACATCCAGAAGTTTAAATTCCAAAATTGGCTTAAGTCGACTTAAGCTACTTTAAGAAATGACTTCACTTCTATTATTACTAAATATTTATTCTGGTTAATTTAGCGCCTCAATGTTGTCTTATCGCGTGCACAATCACTCCTCATACTCATAGGAAACCCAAAAACTTTACAACAAAGTGATGATTTTGAATATGTAATCAAGAAGTGCAAACATATGGAAAATTTCAAGACAAACTGTAAATTCATTCCATGAGTGAAAAATGAAAACATATTTAAAATTAATTTTCTTTTTATTTTAGTGCTAACAAAGTGAAAGCAAGCGATAACAAGTGAATTACTCTACATTACAAATAAAAGTTAAAACCAAATTTATAGCTTTAAATAGCATGGCTCTTCATTTTACATTCACAAACATATACATAAGTATGTAAATATTTTCTTAGTTATCAACATACATATGCATGTATATTCAAATTCCTTTTCATAATTTTTCTGCACTAAAACAAATATCATAGAATGTACTGAAATGAAAACTCAATAAATTACTTTTATATCTTATTAAAACACAAAAACCAATATTACAGTTATGTTGCATAAATTTTATTTTATATTATATAATTAATTATATTTAGAAATTATGGACCGTAAATCTTGCTTGACATAACCCCATAAAAATAAGTCTGGTGCAGTCAGGTCAGGTGACCTTGGGGGCCGGAAAGTGGAGTTTCTTGATATTAATTTGTTTTCAAATTTTCTTCGGAGCTCGACAATAACCGGTCTGGCTATGTGTGCAATTTTTCCATCCTGCTGGAACCAAACGCTATTGAAAGAGATACGTCTTCGGCGCATCTGGATAAAATAACGGTGCCCATTAACAGTTACTGTTATATCGTTTTCTGCAAAAAAGTATTGCCCGACAACACATCTTGCTGAAACTGTGCACCACACAGTGACTCGTTCTGGGTGAAGTTCCGGCTCGTAGATTATTATACCCTCGCAACCTGTTGCTACAGACACCTAACGGTTGTTTGTATCACCTAAAACTAATCGAGTTAGATATAGGGTTATGTATATATAAATGATCAGGATGAAGATACGAGTTGAAAACCAGGTGAATGTCTGTCCGTCCGTCCGTGCAAGCTCTAACTTGAGTAAAAATTGAGATATCTTTATGAAACTTGGTAGACATGTTTCTTGGTACCGTGAGACGGTTTTTATTGCAGATGGGCGTAATCGGACCACTGCCACGCCCACAAAACGCCATTATTCAAAAACAAATAAATTGCCATAACTAAGCTCCACAACACGATACAAGACTCTTATTTGGTATACAGGATCACAATAGGGAGGAGCACCTGCAGTTAAATTTTTTCAAGTGGGCGTGGTCCCGCCCCTGATAGGTTTAATGTGCATATCTCCTAAACCGCTACTGCTATAATAACAAAATTCACTGGAAGCAAATTTTTTAGAACCTCTACCTACAGTGTGAAAATGGGTGAAATCGGGTGGCAACTCCGACCACTCCTCATATAACGGTACTCTTAAAAACTGCTAAAAGCGCGATAAATCAAGCACTAAACACGCCAGAGACATTAAATTTTATCTCTGGGATGGTATGAGATGACTTTATAGGAGCCGCGTTCAAAATTAGACAGTGGGCGTGGCACCGCCCACTTCTAGGTGAAAACCCATATCTTGGGATCTGCTTAACCGATTTCAACCAAATTCGGTGCATAACGTTCTTTTCATATTTCTATGTCATAGTGCGAAAATGGGCGAAATCGGATTACAACCACGCCTATTTCACATATAACACCATTTTCAACAATGATTATATCGGGGTTAAACTTTGCGTGAATAATACGTTTAAAGTATGCCACCTTGTGACCAAAAATTGTCTAAATCGAACCAAAAGTGTTCAAGCCCCTAAGTACTAAATATGTGGACCCCAGTGCCTATAGTTGACCTTCTACCGAAAATATCAGTCAATGCACAAAGAAATCTCAAACGAGTATACCATTTGACTTTGCGAGAGTATAAAATGTTCTTTGCATCCGAACTTAGTGCTTCCTTACTTGTTTTTAAATTTGATTCATTCCATATCCGGCAATTTTGCTTGTTTACATTTCCGTTTAGATCAAAATGGGCCTCATCAGATATAAACAGGCAATTTATCAAGTTATTGGCTTCTCCAGACGAATAGGCAAGTCTAGAGGGTTTAACCGGGTTGTTATTTGAACTTTGTACGGAAACAAGTTTAAGTCCTCAAGAATTATCCGATTGTAATGACCGTCTGCTAACTCCAAGTTGCGCCGATAAGTTGCGAGTTGAAACTCTTGTGCCGTACACATGAAGAGAGGGTGGTGTTCATACCGAAGGCAGGTAGAAACAAGTTAACCTTCTCGAAAGAGTTTAGGCCTATAAGCTTAACTTCCTTCCTGCTGAAAACATCAGAGAAAATCGTGCATAGGGTTATAAAAATAAAAAAAGATTATATAAAAATATTTGATAGGATTTGAACTTAGGCAAAATATTTTACTTTGCAATAAGCAAACGTGCTATACAAGCAGCACCATAGACGATATTAGAGTAACTGCGTCTAATCTGTGAACTTAAACAGTTATTGTTGTTTACTTGCTTCAAATGTTCATATGTCTATATGTGAATATTCTTGAAATTGCCTTCCTGCGCATGTCCTAATATATTTGCATATATGTACACATACCTATGTACATATGTATGTATGTCCCCCAATATGTCTTTCGCAAAAAACTCAAACATTCGCGCAAGTGACAAAAAACGTAAACGCAGCATAATCGACCAATAATATTCAAGCAAACTCGCGGCATATTTTCTAAGTATTTCATATTACAAAGACAACAAATTCATTCATAAGGAATGTGCGTCTGCTTTAAAGCAAAGTGCGGTTGTTCATAACTGTACCGCGCTATTTTTTTATTTAGAATTTGGTTTTCATATAGAATTCCTACGCAAATGTGCGTTAAGTAAATGAATGATATTGAATTTGAATGGTTTCAGTAGAACGAGAAAAATTTCAATTTTACAATATGTATCACTGAAAATCCTACCATTCCCCTCGCATTTGTATGTTGCCCACAAGCTGCTTCCTCACGACGATGCTAAAAATCAGAAATTGAAGAATTTGTCTGATGTTCCCTTCAGAAAGGAGAACTGGCAACATGACCTATTAGCGAGTTAAAATAATATTTTAGTTTTTTTCATATTGTGCACTATATGTATATGACATTATATTATACAATTTATATAAAATTGCCATTCATATGAAATCTTTAATTACTTCTATATATACTTATCATGGAGTGTGATTACTGTGATAGTACTTTTATATATTTACTTATTATCATTGTTTCATAACTTCTCGATTTAGCCCTTTTTATCTAAAAACGACTATGAAAATGTAACGCAATAGGTAAGCGTAGTATTTCAAAAAAGCATAAGTCAATTTTCAATAGCAAACCACTGCAAAAAGGACAAACGAGACAACATAGCCGACCGACATTGTCGTAAAATTGTCGATTCAAACAAATGTTGTCCACTCCGCCACGATGAACAAAATTCGGAGTCAATATGTATGCGAGCTCATATGTATATATGTATGATTGTCGACAAAGTCGTCATTTGGTTTTTTTCAACAACACAAATTCGTTGGTTGCCACCATGCACAGAGGCGTGTCAAGTGAGAACTCATAAACCGGCAATTCACAAGCCGTCTTATGTCATGTCGTATTTCAATTGTCTTAAAAAATACGACACTTGTGAGCACCCCTTAATTGTTGTATGTCATATTCTGTAATATTTCTGCACTTCACCAGCTGGTAATGAAAAATTAAGAATACAAAAATGCCATAAGAAAGTGACAAAAATAAAATTAAAGCTTCTTTATGTTGAACCGCCGGCATTTTGGTTTACATTGCAACCACAATATTTCACTTTTCTTCATCTTAATTAACCTGATTATTTATTAACGTCAACAATAAAAACAAGTAAGGAAGGGCTAAGTTCGGATGTAACCGAACATTTTATACTCTCGCAAAGTCAAATAGTATACTCGTTTGAGATTTCTTTGTGGATTGGCTGATATTTTCGGTAGAAGGTCAACTATAGGCACTGGGGTCCACATATTTAGTACTTAGGGGCTTAAACAGTTTTGGTTCGATTTAGACAATTTTTGGCCACAAGGTGGCATACTTTAATCGCATTATTCACGCAAAGTTTTATCCCGATACAGTCATTGTTGCCTGATTTGCATAGTGGAAAGTGAAATAATCAGATGGAATTTAAAATGGTGTTATATGGAAAGTAGGCGTGGTTGTAGTCCGATTTCGCCCATTTTCGCACGATAATATAGAAATATGAAAATAACGTTATGTACCGAATTTTGTTGAAATTGGTTAAGCAGATCTCAAGATATGGGTTTTCACCTAAAAGTGGGCTGTGCCACGCCCACTGTCTAATTTTGAACGCGGTTCCTATAAAGTCATCTCATACCATCCCAGAGATAAAATTTAATGACTCTGGCGTGTTTAGTGCTTGATTTATCGCGCTTTTAGTAGTTTTTAACAGTACCGTTATATGGGGAGTGGGCGGAGTTGCCACCCGATTTCAACTATTTTCACACCGTCAATAGAAGTGCTAAAAATATTTGCTTCCAGTGAATTTTGTTATTATAGCATTAGCGGTTTAGGAGATATGCACATTAAACCTATTAGAGGCGGGACCACGCCCACTTTTTTAAAAAAAATTTTAACTGCAGATGCCCCTCCCTAATGTGATCCTGTGTACCAAATAACAGTCTTGTATCTTATTGCGGAGCTTAGTTATGGCAAGTTATTTGTTTTTGATTAATGGCGTTTTGTGGGCGTGGCAGTGGTCCGATTACGCCCATCTGCAATACCAACCGTCTCACGGTACCATGAAACATGTCTACCAAGTTTCATAAAGATATCTCAATTTTTACTCAAGTTAGAGCTTGCATGGACGGACGGACAGACGGACAGACGGACGGACAGACGGACGGACGGACAGACAGTCACCCGGATTTCAACTCGCCTCTTCATCCTGATCATTTATATATACATAACCCTATATCTAACTCGATTAGTTTTAGGTGATACAAACAACCGTTAGTTGAACAAAACTATTATACTCTTTAGCAACAGGTTGCGAGAGTATAAAAAGTAAACAGATATAGCTGATAGAATAGCACACTCAAAAAACATACCTCGCCGTGTTGTATTTGTCGTATTTCAATTTTGCATGGGAAAAAACAACAGTGTTGATATGACAGTCATAAAAAAATAAGACAATATGACGATATGACACCTTGTGCATATCCTAAATATATTAATATGTTGCTTAATTTGTATAGAAAAATACTTATGCATTACTAATTTATTTTCGTAATATAATAAATATATACGTAAAATATAAATACAAATAAATTCATACCTATAATCGTTTTTAAAATAAATCCGATTAATAAAAATATATCTGAAATAATTATGTGGCAGTACGCCCCTGACCCCTCCTTGCTTGCGATCGTTCAACTTGCTTCTCGCAAAAAGCAAAAAGTGTGGACAAAAGTCATTGTTTGTGCGAGGCAAGAAGAAGCAAGCATCAGCGTACGTGTATTTAAAAATATAAGTATGTGTGATTATCACATTTGTGTAACTACGCATAATAAGGGATAATTCAATAAACCTAAGCATATGAACATATTTTCCTGAAATATTTTAATTATCTCAGGAAGTAAAATATGCCTTTAATGTAATTGAATTGAGATATGCTTAGATTCCAATTAATAAAATAAAAAATTAAATTAAATTTAAGTTTCATGAGTTTTAGGATTCAAACGTATAAGCTGGTATTCGGATTGAGTTTAACTCCTTCACGCTTACGACCTAAGCCACCACAAAAGTGGAAACGCGATCGCTTAGCCACCGTTTTATTGTTATCCTTTGATCAATAAGCAATTGCTCACGCAACGCACACACATAAGTTGGAAAAATTGCCTATTAAATATTTATTTTATTATAAACTCTGGGGTTTTTACCGGTAATACAGCTTTTTTAATTCAGAAGGCTTTTCCTAATTATAAATTTCGTCAAATCATAGAAACATTCTCTGGTTAGACGTATTTCCAGAGAATTCTTCAACATTCTCTGGTATTTCTTTACAGATTATATATATGTAACATATACATATACATATACATATGTACACAGTTATTTACAATTTATGGAAGCAAGCTATTCGGGGAATCACCACTTTTTGTACGAAATGACTAAACAACAATTTGCATATAAAGAATAATCGTTCACCTATGTAAATATCTATTATTCTTGTTTGTATGGGTATGTAAAACCCAATAACAAAAACATACATACTTATATTAAGCGTATTGACGATGTAAGCCGAAATATTCCGATTTGCATGCCGGCGTTTTTAATTCATATATGTATGGGTTTGCGAATGATTCGTGAAACGCAACGCTTTGATAAAACGATCTACTCGAGTAGATGACGGATCAGCGCGATAGTGTTGGAATTCGTTGCGATTCAGTTGTAAATTTTTATAATGAAATCAAGTGTAAATGTTTGACGCTTCCTTAACAAGCGAAAATTATTATAATTTATAGCATAGATTTATACGTTTATACAAATCTTATTTACATCGCCGAACAAGTTACTAAATACCATAAAGTACACATTGGTATCAAATACGCACACTACAGACTCATGTGTATATATGTATGGAATTTCTATATAACGGTTTTTCGTGTCAACTTTTAGACGAAAATTGCAACAAGTCGTTTTCCAGCACTATCGGTCCTGTTGCGACCGCTTTGATTTCAATCGTGTAATTTTCAGTACAAAAGTGGGTGCTAACGATAATAGTTGGATTGATCGTTTGTCAAATATATTATCTGGTTGACCTGTAAACAACTACAATAAACAGAGGCAATAATCGATTTAAATTTGTTGCATTTCTATTGCTAAATACAATACGTGTGTACAAAGTGTCTGCAATAAAAGCTAACTTCTATAATTGCATTGTTGATATGCCGAAAAAATCACGCAAAAGTTTATTTCTTCCATTCGGTAAGTGGTTTAATGCAATAATTTATATATTACATTTCTATTTTTCAGGTAAATGTATAGTTTAGGTCTCCCAACTAAGGAGGCCTCAAAAAAAATTAAAAAAAATTTAAAAAAATAGAAATATTGAAAAAATTCGCTTTCCGCTCACGGATTTGTAATCTACGCCTAAAAATAAGACGATTTAAAAAAAAAATAATTTTTGAGGCACACTTAGTTGGGGGACCTAAACTATACATTTACCTTTTTCATTAGTATGTAAGTATGCAAGTTTTAGAAATCTAGATAGTACATTATTTACTTCTGTACATACATATGTACATTTTCGCTGTAGAGTTTAAATTACATACATGCATGCATATGTATGTCATTCATAATTATCTCTCGTTTTTATATGTATATTATTTAGAAAAGGATGTAGTTGGACACTTCCTTATATATTTGTATGAGCTGCAAAAACCTCCTCCCAAAAGCGATTGGCTTGTAAAGAGAAAAGAGGTGCGAAAAATATTTGCTGAGTTTTTGAACTTGCCTAAAAATGACAAAATACGCACACGTATTGGGCAAAATCCAGGTGGAAAGGTTTGTATGTCCGTATTAACTAGATTAACATTAACTAATGAATGTTGATATGTACATACACATGTATATGTATAAATGTGCATATTGGTCATATTAATGGTTCCATTTTAAAACCCACACTTACTCTCATATTTAAGTTATTAGTAACAACAAATAGCCCAACAATTTCATTTCCGGTTAAAGTATAGGTTTCATTTGTAGCTCTAAGGCTAGTGAAATGAGATTCTTTTAAATATTCTGTTAATATAGATATGTACGTACATAAGTTATTACAATATATCGGTTACTTAATCATTCAATTAATTTAGTTAGCGCACGCAACTCCTGGTTGTATACATTTACCTACCTCATGGAAATAATTACTTTCATACATACTTATGTACATATGTGTTTTAGCTTTAGACATTGTGTTTTCCCCGATGATAATAATGATAATGTATTTTTATTACAAAATAACAAAAAAATATGTAAAACCATTTAAATTTTTTTAAATTAGTAAAAACAAAAAAAACCCCTTAACGTTGCATCAAAATTATAATACTTTTTACAAATAAAAAAGTTTTCCATACGAGAAACTGAATTTGATCGATCAGTTTGTATGGCATCTATATGCTATAGTAGTCCGAGCTAAAAAATTTATTTTGCCAAATTTCGCGATAATATCTCCTAAAAAAAAAAACAAATTCCTTTCGGGTCTTGATATTTTCCTTTTGTTGGCATTTTGGGGATAGATGATGAGTCAACATCAATATATGTATACAGTTACTGACAATAAAATAGAATCAAAATATTATTCACAACTATTTGCAAAAAAAAAAAACAGTGTTACCACAGTTCTAAGAAGAAAGCAATTATTTTTATAGTTATTAAATTTATTTTAAACATTTTAAAAGCAAAACTAACTTAATAAAGAATTATCAGTAGACAATCATTTTAAAGGAACTGTCTGGAATTTCAATTGACATTGGAATAGTATCATGGAACCAAAATTCGTAAATAGTAGATTATTATAACTAACAACTAAGGAAGTTCTAAGTTCGGGTGTAACCGAACATTTCATACTCTCACAACTTGCAAGGATCAAGGCCCGCGCAATTACTTCAGGTGCTGGGAAATTTTATATTAAAGAAAGTACTGATCCGATTCAGCCCATTTTTGACACAAAGACATACTGTTATCGAGAGTTTCATTAATTTATTTTATTATTGTATATGAATTGAAATTATATATCTTACACATTGACCGATATTTCGATATTTTCGGTAAAAAGTCAATTATAGGCACTGGGTACATAGGGACTTGAACAATTATAGTTCGAACAATTTTTGGTCAGGTGGCACACTGTAGGGGCACTATTGGTAAAAAGTTTCATCCGGTTTATTCATTGCTTCTTGATTTGTGTACTGGAAAATGAAAGAATCATATGGAATTTAAAATTGCGGTATATGGGAAATAGGCGTGGTCGCAGTCCGATTTAGCACATTTTCGCACTGTAATATGAAATCTTCAGGAGAATGTTATGTACCGAATTTGGTTGGTTTTGCAGTTCCAGAGATATGTGATTACCCCTAAATGTGGACAATGCCACGCCCATCGTCCGAATTTTACATTGGCTCCTATAAAACCCCCTTGTACCATCCTGGATGTAAAATTTAATGTCTCTGGCGAATTTAGTTATTGATTTATAGTAGTTTTTAACAAAACCAGGGGAAGTGAGCGGCGTTATCATCCGATTTGGGTCATATATCGAGAATGGTGGCGGAGCCACTCCCACTTTAAAGAAATTTCAACTCGTCTCGTCATCCTTACCATTTATATACTTGTACATATGTAAATAACGCTATACCTAATTCGACTGTTTTTACGTGATACAAACAACTGTTAGCTGAACAAAACTATTATATTATGTAGCAACATGTTACCTATATATAAATAATGGTGTTTACAATTTACATAGTTTTAGGAGCGTTTTTAGTTTTTTGTTAATTTTTGAGGTATGCACCGCGACCTACGGTCTATTGTGCCCTAGTTTTTTGTTATAACTGGTGATTATTTTGTCACAGTGCCACTCAAATATACATATCTATTGCTGTTTTAGTACCACTGAAAAATGTTACAAACATAGAAAGATACAGGTAAAGCTAATAAAAGCGTTATAAAAAGTGCACTAGTTGCTAAGCCTTAGGGTTAAAATATTGTATCGACTTATATGACTAATCTTCGAAGTAAATTTATATTGCCTCTGCTATACATACTGTTTAAATACGTTTTACATTACATTGTGAAACAATTGCGTATAATGAGTTTGAGCCGAAGAGCAATACAATTTTGCATATTTACATAAGTACTGCATTTGTATAAACAAAGAGAGCAAAATGTAAAATCAGCGAAATTAATTTTTTGAAATTTGTTTATAATATTTTTAACGTAATATAAACCTTTGTCTACCCTTTGAAGCTAAGTAACTTCGTAAGCAGGTATGTACATAAGTATCTACATTATTGTTTGTTTACGGTACCATAAACCATTATTGGCCATTATCCACTTAAGGCACTCGGATTATTGTAGGATCAAGAAATTGTATGCCCGTTGTTGTTGTTGAGTGTGTGTTTTTTTTTTAACATATGGACCTTCATATGTACATGAGTTCTTCAATATATGTATGTACATACATATACATGTGTTTATCAATATTGTATGGAAACTAATTTGTAGTAGTTATGCTATGCTCTTAGTCTTTACATTCTATGAAGTGCGTGGTGTTGAAAAATTATGTAAATACTTTAATTCTAAGGAACTCTAAGGATTACAAAGCAGAGATAAAAAGATGCCCAACTCGTCTCTCACTGTAAATGAGAGCGCAATTGCTAAACGTCAAAACCCCCTGAACTCAAGCAACTGTCAAAGTTCAGGAGGTCTGACGTTTAGCAATTGGAAAAGGAGGGACGGCCAGACTGAAATCCTACAGAAAAATATGTCAACAGAGAGATTTCTTACCGCTGTTAAAGATCACTAACAAAAATTGGAAAACAATGAAAATGAAAGAAAACGCGAAATTGAAATGTATGTGATGAAATCTTTTGTGATACCATGCTTAGTAGTATTGATTTTCAATTAAAAATTATAAAAAACATTTATTCATTGAGAGCTAATACATTTATTCTTTTGATTAAATATTGAAAGTTTAAAAATCAAAAGTTTTAATATATGACAAAATCACAAAAAAGGGTTTAAATAGTTTTTGCATATGTTTAACGGATACATGTATATTAATATTTAATCTAAATAAATGTTGGGTATTTTAATTTAAATGCCCTAAAATTATTATTTTGACTGATCTGGCTAAAATGCAAAATGTTATAAAAAACGCTAATTTTGAGGCGATCTCACACTGGAAAGAGTTGGGCATCCCATTATCCCTGGTACAAAGCATAATATAGACTGCGTTCATATGAAAACGATTTTGTCGCTCTTATATCACATTTTTAAATTCTAGTACGCAGTGCACAAAAATATTCTTGATTAGCTAATTTTATCCTTATTTATGTCTGTACATATATTCCTTTTCTGAAGCATGTCTATTACATACAAAAAATATATAATAACAAAATTTCCGAACATAATGTGAATATTCGTTTGAAACCGAGCGCCACAAGCATTGAATTTCACAACCAAGATGGATGTGATAGGAAACGGGTTTTTAGGAGCAGATATAAAGATTGGAGCAGGGGTGCGGCACCGTCCACTTTTAGGTGTGTAATGTTACACAAATTATTTATCATCATACACTGTGAAAATGGCGAAATTGGAGGATAACCACGTCTACTTCCCATATAAAAAACTTCTAAATTTCATCGGATTCTTTCACTTTGCAGTATACAAATCAAACATCAATAAAGTTATCAGAATAAAAATACAAATTGCATAAATAATGCCCTGAAGGTATTTTACCTTACGACCCATAATTGTCGAAACCGAATATAACTTTTCAAGGACCCAGACACCAAATTTGTGAACCCCAGTGCTTATGCCTGAATGTTTACCGAGAAGTTTAACCTTTGAGGTCTAATATTAAAATTAAGGCAGATTTTAATCTTTCGGTTGGATTTATAGCGTATATGGTATATCGGTCAATATGTAAGATATCTTAGCAAAATAAAATGGAAATATAATACTGTATAGTATTGTATAATAAAGTTTAATGCCAAAAATGTGCGATATCGGTCCACAAATTACACCAGTTTTCATAAACGACATAAGTATATCTAATATAATGATTTTCATTAGTCCAGAATGAAATTGCGATTTCCCATCCTTTGGTTATATTTTCCTCATATACCCCATATATTAAATTTAGCTTTGATTTAATTTATTAGGTTGATCTTAATATTACTATCTCGGACAAGCAACATATTATAAAAAAATCTAATTGAGTCGATGACTAATAAAATACCAAATTTGATTGTAATCTTTTCACGATTTGTCCGCACAATAAACATTGAATTATTTCGCAACAGTTTTTAATCAAATTTTTGAAATCACCTGAAGGTATTTCACCGACTTTGGTCCTTGCAAGTTGCGAAAGTATTAAATGTTCAGTTACAGCCTTTTTTTCCCCTTTTTTCACAGATCGGCAATTTTCTCAATCGTACCGGCTATTTAATCGAGCTAGAAAGCGGCAGCAAATTTTTCTGCATAAATTACCGGGAACTTATGCAATACAAAGAAAGAGATGAATTGCATAAGACCCTTAAAAAAAAGCTCATTCTGAACGATAACGAAAATGAAAAAAAACATCGTTTACCGAATAATCTGTAAGTATTTTGTATTAACATAAATAAATATATTAAGGTACATACATATATTGTGTAAGTTGTATTTATATTATTCAAATATTCGCAGATTTTTTAAACGAACTGAGGTTTTAGGGCAATTTCTGCCGCCGCCTGCACTATTGGAGTTGAAGAAGAAGAAATTTGCTGAAGAAGTACTTTGCGAATATTCATCACAATTTGCTAATTACTTCAATGGTGGTCTAATTTTTACACCAGAAAATATGCTAGACGTCATGAAATTACTGCTACAAATTGAAGATGTTGAGAATTTTTCCAAATACAGACGTATCATACAACGTGATGTGAACTTAATCCAATCACAACAGCCAAAACGATATAGTTTCACGGTAAGTCGTTAAAGTAAATTCATTAGAGCACGGTTCTGGTGATAGCTCTGCCATTATTAAGCGTTTTTAAGTAAAACAAACCAGACTTCTCACACTCGATCTAAAAAATGTATTCGGAGATTGTAGAGTTGCCTTGGGAAATATTCTATGACAAATTTTAAAAAGATATTATATCTTGTCAAATAAAAAATTTTCCATAGAAGGACTTGATTTTGATCGTTCAGGTTGTATGGCAGCTATATGCTACAGTGGTGCGATATGGACCGTTCCGACAAATGAGCAGCTTTTTTGGGGAGAAAAGCACGTGTGCAAAATTTCAGAGGGATAGCTAAAAACTGAGGGACTACTTCGCGAATATACAGACAGACGGACATGGCTAAATCAACTTAGCTCGTTACGCTGGTCATTTATGTATGCTATTCTAATTTTATAGGGTTTGCCCGTATAATACCGTATTCAGGGTATATTAATAGATCAAAATTTTATTTACTTCACAAATTAAAATTAATTAGGAATATAAGACAGCTGAAGCTTTTAAGTAATTGGGTCTGATATTTAAATTTAAAAAATTAATATTTTTTCAATTTTAAAATTAGTTATAGATTTTTCCGACAACTCTATGACTTAAAATTTCTGTATCAATTACAATGTTATTTAAAGTTTCAAGGCACAGACTTGACAGGGTGCGTGGATTCCCTCCGTGCGAAAGAAGTGAAACTTCATGATGACAAATTGGAAACATGAAAATATTGAAACATTTTTGGCAAACACAATTTTTTATTTATTTTTTTCGATAAACAAATTTTTTCAATTTAATCTCACTTTCAGCGGACGCTGTATTCTTATTAATAATATTTACAAGTGGATTATGATAGCTAAATATTTTATAAATTTTTCTGGCGAAAACTGCATCAGTAGTGGTGCCTCCTTTTGTCATTGGATTATCTTTGAGGCAAATTATTGTTATTATTGTGGAGCATGAAAATATGTTTTTAGCGAAATTGTGAATTTAAACACGTAACAAACAATCCCCGAACTAACAGTAACGTGCCTTCACATAACCTCGCTTACACTGCGCCCCTGTAGCCTCCTTTTCACTTATTTTAATTATATTCAAATAATCTACAATACAAAATTGTTGTACGTTAAGCATTTGTAAAACATTTAGAATCAATCAATTTAATTAGTCCGATTTATAGCTTTTTATAATACATGTAGGTTGCATACTAAGATCACAACTAATCAAAACATTTAAATACAGATATGTACATATATATTCGTATTATTTCTCTCCCTAATGCACACATAATGGTATTATCCTTGAGACATAAAGCTTTCAAGAAAATCTCGTAAAATCGGATCTTCCTACGAAGTTCTGCTCAGCCGCTACAATCGCGTTTTAATTGTCGCCGAATGTCCCGAAGCAAAAGCACTCACTAAAGAACAAATTCTTGAATTTCTAATCAGCGGTTCGTTAGAGTTGAATGTACGCGGTAAACCCGTAGCAACAACTTATTTGGCTCATATTGAAGATGTAAATGACGAATCTAAAACAGTGACTATCGAAACTGAAGTCGGATCAGATCTAAAAGAACCAGATCCAAAGGCGGTCTATCTAATCATATTTTATCCAGCGCGACTTACACTGTGCTATCAATACAATGCATTAAGCCTGTACGGTGAAGCGCGTGCTATGCTGCAGCATTTCCTCTTTCCCAATCCAATCGTTACAACGAGTTTTCCGCGTATGTGGTGAGTTTTAACACATACGCTGTTATTGTATTCAATGAAATTTTAAATGAAATGATGAAAATTTTTTTCAACCACTCACAAATGGATGCATATCTAGCTTATCCTTCTACGACAAAAATATAGCGGGTAATCCTGAGCAGGTTGAAGCTGTACATAACATTGTATCGGGCTGTAAGAATAAAAAGCTAGAAATACCATACATCATATTTGGACCACCGGGTACGGGTAAAACTTCAATCATTGTAGAGTCCATACTGCAGTTACTATTCCATGATCAAAAATCTAGAATACTTGTTACGGCCGGTCCAAATTGCGCTTGCGACGAGATCGCTGTACGCATTTGCAATACGCTCTCGCTGGGTACAGAACCACGTGGCAAAGTTTTGGCGCGCATATATAGCTACTCACAGGAGAGCCGTCGCGAAAATGTTAATAAATTATTGCTTGAGTATTCAAATATGTATGACTGGCATTTTATGCCGAATGTTGCAGTACTACAAGATTATCGTATTGTGGTGTGTACTTTAAGTAGCGTCGGCAAATTGATAACCGGTGGTCTGCAAAATTTTACGCATGTTTTCCTGGATGAGGCAGCCGCTTGTTCCATGTCTGAAGGATTGATTGGTTTAGTCGGTGGTTTGAATAAAAAGTCAAATTTTATTTTGTCCGGTGATCATAAACAATTGGGTCCGATAATAAACTCAAAACGTGCCGAGGCATTAGGACTAGGTGTATCCTTGATGGAACGGCAATTACAACATAAATGTTATGACGTCAACGAGGCTAATGGTCACTATAATCGCAGCATACAAACACGTTTATGTCGCAATTACCGTTCACATCCAGCAATCGTGAAGCTTTTCAGTGAACTCTACTACGATAATAAGCTGGAGTCTATGGCAAGCACAGGTAGTTTGAAGATTTTTATAAATGTATCATATGCCTGTAAAACTATTACTTATTGTTATATAAATTACAGAAAATACTAATTTGGCAGCCAAGTGGAAACGCTTACATGACCCAAATTTTCCGATTTTGTTTCACGCTGTGGACGGTAAAGAACGATACGACGACAGTGGCAGGTGAGTTAATAAACAATTTGTAATTTTTATGCGTTGAAGGGAAGCAATATTCACGATAATCGAAAAATATATATTGCTTATGTAGGGTCACAAATATAGCTAGATAACTTATATGTACGTATGGTACGTTGTGTTGCGTTAGGGAGACATCAACCAAACTTAGTACAAGCATTTCCTTTTAGCAGTTCTTGGCACCTTTACCTACAACCAATCTTACTTTCCACATAAAACAACTCTAAATGCCATCTGATTCTTTAACTTTAAAATCAAGGTATTGGAATACATAACAGATCATAGTTTTTCTAGAAAATAAAGAAAGTGGTGATCTCACCGCCTATGGCTAACTCTTCATAATCTTTCAATTGCGTATATGCCGAATATATCGGTCATTGTATAAATTATCTGAATAAAAATTCGTGGAAATATATTCTTAAGCTAATTTGAGTTTAAAGCCAAGGGTATAAAATAAGTCTAGAGTTTACCCTTGGCCCCTGGTTGCCTGTGATATTATTATTTATTAAATATATTTGCATTACTCCTTTTTAAATATTCATTTATTTTTCGTTATTACCAATTTTGACAGCCTTTGCAATTACGAAGAAGAGGAATTGGTTATAAATTATGTAAACGATTTATTGGATAATGGTCTAGGCGATGGACGCAAGTTGGAAGAAACTGATATTGGCATAATATCGCCATATCGTAATCAATGCATGTCAATTCAAGATGAATTAAATAACTATCGTAAAATTCAAATTGAAACCGGTTCGGTTGAAACATATAGAGGCAAGGAGAAAGCGGTAATAATCGTATCATTTGTGCGATCAAAAAAAAGTTTGGGTTTTCTAAGAAATCCTAAGGTTCGTATAATACCATGTGCTATATGTGTATAATCATATTGTATATATGTGCATTATTTCTTGTTTTTCTAGCGTTTAAATGTTCTTCTTTCGCGGGCAAAATCGCTACTCATTCTCATCGGAAATAATGTCACACTTTCGAAGCAAAGCGATTACGAGTTTGTCATTAAGGAGTGCCAACGTCATGGAAATTTTATACCTGCTCCAGTAGTGTCTAAGAAAAATTAATTAACTTTCATATAACAATTCATTAATAACCGTTGAAATGTCACTTCCAATAAACATTTTTTATATGTACCATTAAATGTGTCTTGACTAGATCGATGAATCCGAAAGAGTAAGCAATCAGGCATTGATGTGACTGTAGAAGCCATACCTCTAACATATATCGAAATGTTTTCTGACTACAAATGCCATACATTGGACCACTTTGAACGGGTTCCTGTGTATATCATGTAAAGGGTGCCGAGATGTGCCCTCATTGGAATGAGCAGAATCTCTGGACTTAAACTTAATTGTTGGGCTTATAAGAGGTGTCAGGGTTCCTTGAAGTGTCCATAAAGAGCTCTTTAGTAAACTGCGCCTGCGATCAGCGCTTTTAATGGTAAGTAGGAGTGTACAAAATATGGATTGTGCTTAGTGTTAAGCTAACCTGGAAGTTCATGCTGCTCATGTGATACCATCTAGTTTTTGGTATATTATTATTCAGATATTGGCTAACAAAAATATGCACTTTCTTACAATTAAAAAGCATTATCTTTGAGTAGAATATAATTATATTTTTATTTAGAAAAAGTTTGTTAGTACAATAATTATATGATTAAAAAAATATATATGTTTCGTTTAGTAAAATTGTGCTTAGGCGTATTAAATGTAACATTGTGTGTAGAGAAATATAATAATTCATAAAATCTTTATAGATAAAGAAGTAGGCTGCAAAGGCACTTTTTTATGAAATAATTTTACATGATAAGTAAAAAATATATCGGGTAAGCAAAATAAAAAAATTTATGATTATTTAATTACAATATATATACATATATTTATTTATTTATGTATTTTTTTCATTTTTTAATAATTCCATTCAAAAGGCAAAGGAAACAATAATTTTGTAAATTTTGGGTGAAATTTTAAATTGAAGGGTTTCCGAAACCAGATATTTATTGTTAGTTTCAATGGAAATAATAATATTTACAAGAATTTCACTTGAATTTGAAAGATGTTTTCAATCTTTTTCGGAAACGAACAAAAAATTTAAAAAGATTTGTGTCAATAAGCTCCGCAACCGAATAAAGAAAAACCTCCAAATTATATAATATGGTAACACGAAGCCTAAAGGGATAATTAAGAAGAAGTTGTCTCAATTTGTCAATGTAGTACCTAATTTTTTTTTTTTTTTAATATGTTGGTGTTTTCAAATAAACTTATATTCTTTTGTTAAAATTTAAACTCGTAGGAATTCTAAATAAACTTGCTGTTTTTTTTCCATTATACTGTAGCCATTCAAGGATATCTTTTGCAATCGTTGGCATAAAATATTTGGCTCAGTCAGAGCGGTAGAGAGAAAATCGTGGCCCGATCATTGAAGTAAATTATTGGACAAAAACATATGTAAAACATTGTTATAGAGCACTGGGCCCCCCCTGAGAAGTCCGGGTCCGAGAAGAATTGTCCCGGATCTCGCGATTTAAGCCATGAAAATCCAATTAGTTGACATCACTGCCAATCAAAAATGGCATTAAGTTTTTAGTATAAAAATTTTAGAAGCAAATAACTTTTCATAAAACTTCCAATCAATTGGGTGTCATTCAAACTGGAAATAAATTCAAATATGTTGTATTTTTCAAATAGATTTTTGTATGAAGGTATAACGTTTTCAAACAACTTTCGAACAAGTGATCTCATAGCAACTGTCCAAATGTGTGATATCCTTCGACCAGTTTTTGGTAAAGGCTCTTTTGGACACATTATTCAATTTACAAAAAACCTTTCTATTTTTTCAGCGAGGTTTTTAAGGACGTTTTAGATGTGCTTTAATAGATTCCATATCTTTCGACCAGTTTATTATGTTATACTCTGGGAAACATTATCCAAAAATAACTCACTAATCAGATGGTGACAACAACTGGAAAATATTCTTAAATATTTGATGTGTTTCGACCAGTTTTTGGTATATCAATTTGGAAATATTAACAAAAAACTTTAAAAGAAACGTTCTATTTCCAGCGTACTAATTAAAGAAGTTTTAGACAAGATTTAACAAAATCCATAACATTATCAATTTTTGGTACAAGTCTTGTGAAATAATTTTTCGAAACACAAATAACTTATTTTACAAAGTGATATATCCTTCGACTAATTTTTGGCACAACAGTCTTTTGGAAACTTTTAAGGCACAAATAACTTTTCAAACGAAGGACTAAAGCAAAATTATTTGGCAAATCATCCATTATTCTAAGCATTTTCTGTCATTAACTTAGCATTCAGCTAAATTCAATCGATACCTATTTTCCATAAAATCTGCTACAAAATGCACAAAAAATATGTGAATATCTGTGAACTGCACCCTCGAAAGTAGCGGCCAGCTACACATATACATAACCTTAGATTTAAAAATCAAGCACAAGCAGCTAAAAATTAAGCATCTACTTGTGCTTGAGCCTTAAAACTAATCTAAACTTGTATCTTAAACGTAATGACACTATTAAAAAATATTGATATAATCAGCGAGATTTTACTATATTTTTTGTAGTCTCGCTGTCTAACCCGCACCTAAACATGTTTGCACAAACTATTTTCTATAGTCTTTAACCTGCAAACATAATAACATTATATACATACATACATACATATGTATATAAATATGTAAGTATATATTTTTGCGAAAACAACAGTTGCCAAAATGCCTAGAAAATCTTTAAGTATAAAGAGAGAAAGCAAAGCTTAACTTTCGAAGCCTTCTTATTCCAACACAAATTTCCCTTTACACCTTCCCCGAACATTTTGAAACAATGTTTCCGCAAAACTGTGAGCAAAGTCCAAGCTAAGCACGCGTAACGCACTTGTCAAGGAAAAACTTTGCATAATTGATGTGAAACTAAAAATAAAAAAAAACTAACGCGCTTACATATAGAGTGTTTACACAACCACTTCCAACCCTAAGCAATAACACACTTCGATTTTGAAGATTTCGGATTTGGCGGTGGATATGTGCGAGTTTGCATATATCTCGGCGGAGTGGGGTACTCTACACGACCCAGGCTTACCGCTGGCCCCAAAATAGCGTTCGCACCAGTTGTAGTTGCGTTTTCACTATGCATTGGTGTAGACTTCTGCCGGGTTGCAGCAGCTGGTACTGTCTTCCTCTCATCGCTGAACGATGATATATTGTGTGCAGGAAAATGCTGATCATTCATAGGTAGGACCTTCGACGGCGTAAAAGTTGCACTTTTATGTGGATTGTTGTTGGTCAAGTGCGGCAATGTGCCCGTGGGTTTCAATGTGGTTGCATTGTTTGCTGTAGCTTGTGTTTGGTATGTTGGTGTTGTTGTTGTGGGCTTCCCACGTAGTGGTTCTAAACGCGTACGGAATTTATCGTGTTGTAGAGTTTGACCTGTCTTTGGATCAACTATTTCAAAATCATTGATTCGGCTTTGTTGCGTTCTCTCACACGGTACGCTTGGTAGCATTTCAAAAAGCTCATCAATTTCAGATTTTGGCCCCTTCTTATTATAATTTCTACGATTGCTGGTGCTACTACTAGCCTCCACAAGGTTGCTAAGTTCCTCGGTTAGATAAAGATCCTTTAGGCGCTCAAATGTTTGGCGTTGTTTTTCAGCAGACGTGGGCTGTGTGACTTTAAATAAGAATGTGAAAACGTTTTGAAATCATGAAATAAGTTTAAATATGGTATATTTAATTGTTAACAACAACAAAAGCGAATGTTGCAGTTCATAAACTAGATTATTTTTACATATTAATATTTCAGATCGAATATTTTAATATTTGAGACTTAAGGGCTAAGCATCGTAAAAAAGATTTATACACTCGAAGCTGTTGAATGAAGCCTGAGAGAAATTCGATTGTTGCTTTACTACCAGAATATATGTATGTCTAGTCAACATTAGGCATCCTTAAACAAGATGACGCAACATGACACAAAAAATGTTGTGCGCACAAAATCCTCTTATAATAAATATATCAAATGTCTCGGACGTCTGCGCTATAAACAATCACATTTATTGGAGCCGAAGCTGATTCAAACAACGGTCAAATATGCAAATAATATATACATATGTGTGGTGAAATTGTGTTTACTGTATAAAAATGTTTATTATGGAACAAAAAAATAACTGTTTCTTATTGAAATGATCAGTTTGACTAGCAAACAAAATGTTCAAGCATGCAACATAACAAGTAGAACATATAATTTATGATTTCAGCGTTTATAAAATGTACATTAAAATCAATATATATAAATATATAACTGCCTTTGTTGTAAAATAAAATTAAGCATTAAAAACATTTAATATAAATTCAATAAACAAGCTTGTGACTTTAAAAAATATATAAAAATTATTTGTTAACTTCGTTGTAAAGCAAAAGCAAAAGAAAAATAAAACTTCAACACTGATAACATTTAATATAAACTCAACACAAAAACAAGCTTTTAACATAAAAAAATACAATACTCCATACAAAAACAAGCTGATGACTTTAAAAAATATATAAAAAATATTTCTTAATTTGTTGTAAAAAAAAGCAAAATAAAAATAAAACTTCTACTATAATAACATTTAATATAAAATCAATAAACAAAAGGTTGTGACTTTAAAACTTATATAAAAATTAGAAATTGGCTTTGTTGTAAATAAGATTAAAGCAATTAAGGAAATTATGAATGTATGTCAAATGTGGTTTGTATGCATATATGCATGTGTATGAAAATAAACGGTAAAATAAAGCAATAAAAAACATATGTAAACAAAACTATTCTTTGGGTATAATAAATACATATGTATAAAAATAATTTTGTGCATTTAACTAAAAAAAAAAGTATGATTAATGGATATAAATTTCATGTAAACACTCTCCAACACAAGGGCCTAAGCAAACACAAACACCCACTTACACAAGACAATCAAACAGTTCTCACGCAGCGCTTCATATTTTTACGTGCAACTTTGCCTTTTCACGCTTCATACATCTAAGATTGTAATAAAAGTAACTTATCTTACTTTTAAATTTACTGCTGTTGTTGCTTTTGAGCACATCATTTACAGTAGTTGTCCCTTCGTTCATTGTTGTTGCAGCAGCTACGTTTTTATTATTATTAGCCATGTTTTTTCTGGCTCTTGCCCTAGCCTTGTTTGATTTGCCACCATTTTTACCACACGCATTGATATTCTCTTTACTAATATTTAGCTTCTCCAAAGATTTGGTCAACTTCGACATCGATTCATTATTACACTTGTTGGGATTCTTTCCGTCATCGTCGAAGAATGATGCGCCAACTAAAGTCTTCTGCACTTGACATAATTCGATGATATTTTTAAAATCGCTATTGATGCTTAGTGTACGCGGATTACCAATGAGTATGAGCAGCGAACGTGCACGTGACAGTGCGACATTTAGACGCTGAAATATGCATATAGCAATTAAAAAATAAATATTTGCCATATACTGAATTTACACATGATTACATACATTACGACTCTCCAGAAAACCCAAATTATTTGTGAACGAACGTACAAACGAGATAATTACGATGGCTTTCTCTTTACCCTGGAATGATTCGACGGCACCAGTCTCGATTTGATACCAATTTCGCAGATTTAATTCCTCCTGTATGCGTATATATTGTTTTTTATATGGCGTAATAATACCAATGTCACTCTGCACCACCTTATGACCTTTAATGCCGAAACATAAGAGATCACGCACATAGTCCATAACAATTTGGATCTCGAGCGGATTGTAACGACTATAACAATATTAAAGTATATTTATTTAATGTTAGCTGGATAAGCGTAGGTATCATTAGTTACCTGGTGGAGTTTTTTTCTCGCTGCTCTGGTCCGAAAACGGAATGAAAGATTATTGGATATTCAGCATTCGGAGCGCGATGCCAGTCACGACATAACTGCTGAACGTCTATTCAAAACAAAAATATATTTAATTTTAATATACCGAAGACCCTATAACATAGTACATGATTTCAAAATAAACACATGATATTACTCGACATAATGTAGTAGCTATAAGTTTTAATTCGCTCCGGATAAAACTCTTCCATAATAGCATATAAAGCAAATTTATTTCGGTTAGTAAAAAATGTAGCTCGAAACCGTATCCGTTCCCACGACACTAGGGTCAATAATGCCCTGTATATTAGAACTTCAACTACTACACCATGGCAGTCGCAAGATATCGTATATGCATGACCGACAAAATCTATGAAATTGTAGTTGCTAAAACCAAAGGTGCTGGAAGAACAATCTTTTGCTCTAGACTCGGGTCTACGTAACCGGATTTTAATATGGCTAAGTGCTGTTAACGCGGCAGCATCTCCAAAAATATTTCTAGGATATTTTTCTGTCCTCACTCACGAGTTACCATAAATAAAAACTCTCTGCTTATTAATGATGTTCTTGAAGGCGAACCACCTTGTTATGTGTAGAGCAAAAAAAGTGCGAGTTACTTTTTCCAACCACAGTAACTCTCACACAATCCCATTATAGAATGTGTCCACTATCAAATGATAACTCAACGAAATTAGCGAATCCATACAAACATAAACTTCAATCAATAGAAAGGAATATATGCAAATTACACTCACCAGGTGCAGCTTGGGCCAACAATTGTCCTTCATAAAACATTTCACTGAAAAGTTTAACAATTTCCGGATGCGAACGATAATTGCGGCGCAAGCGTATTTGTATTTGCCGATTATAATTGCCATATTCATCGACACGATAGCAATCCCGTTCAAGTAGACGCTCCATTAATGAGACCTCCAAACCCATATTTGCGGCACGTTTCGAATTTAAGATTGGACCTAATTGTCGATGATCGCCGGCTATGACTAGCCTCGAGTTTGAACTTAGTGTTGCCGTCAGAGCGACTAAAGTTTCCATTTCGGTCGAAGCAGCTACTTCGTCAACAAAAATATGCGTAAACACACCACTGCCATCTTTTTCCTTGCCGAATTTGCCCGTCGCCAACCGGCCGATTAGACCTAAAGTGCATACAACAATGCGATAGGAGTGCAACACTTCCACATCCGGCAGAAAATGATCGGCATATAAATTGGAATATTCGAGTAGTGTTTCGTTAATGTTATCGGCATGATTCTCGTATGCGCGCGAATAAATGCGTGTGATTGTCTGTCTCTCGATATTCGGTGTGAGCGCATTGCAGAGACGTAAGGCGATCTCGTCGCAAGCGGCATTCGAGCCAGCTGTAATGAGTATACGCGACTGCGGTTGCAGCATATATATCTGATAAATAGCTTCGAGCGCTGTTGAGGTTTTGCCGGTGCCTAGTGGTAGTGTGAAATTAGTTTAAGTTTTATTTTTATTTTTTTTTTTTGGATATTTTGTACCTGGTGGTCCGAAAATAATATATGGTGCGCTTTGTTTATCATTTATATTCACTATACATTCTATAGCCTGCAATTGTTCGGGATTCCCATAAATGCTTTTGTTAAGAAAATTCAAACTGCGCGTATAAACAAAAATTAAAGTTAGTTTATTTTTTTTTTATATATGCTTTACTTTAGTCTCACTTTAACGCTGGCATTTCCCTCATTAAGATTTGGTCGGGAAAAAGAAACCGCTTTAATAAGGGCGGCGACATGGCAACCAATTGTTCTAAGGCGCGATATTGATAACGTAAAATCATGCGCGATGGACGAAAAAGTATGGTATACATTTTGTCACTTGGAATTTTTTGGTCACATTTAAAGGTTACGCGTCCATAGGAAATGCATTCGACTTGACCAATATATTTTTTCGATTTCTTCTTTGCCGGTGCCTGCGTAACAGCTGTTTCGTCATTCAGTTGTTCCATCTTTTTCATTAAATCATCTAATGAAGTTGATGCGGCATTACCCTCTTCAGCGGGCAAAACAATAACATCATCAAAAGGGAAAATTATATTCTCGAAACGAATATGTTTTGGTATTTTTAACTGGCCAGAAATAAAAAAATTAATTAAGATATACATTTTTATTAACATAATGGTGTTGCTGTTATGAAAATGATAAAACATATTATGATCAAACAGTTCTGTTAAAGAAATAGATATTAAACCGAACTTCATAAGCGCAGCTTTCGCAACAATTTTAACTTTTTCTAGCATACATTTTATGTGCAATATTTATACGATAAGTTCGTCAATTAAATTTAAATATGATTTACAAAACTTTGACCTTAAATAGATTTAGGAATAGGTTTGATTTTAATTTCGTTACAGTGATGTTTGTATGAAAAATGTTGAGTAATTATATACAAATGCATATACAAGAGAAATGTGTTTAACAGTGTGTATACTTGTTGTTGTGGTTATTAATGCCACAAAAGATAGTTTTTTTGGAAGTATCGCCAAGAAGCAAACCTCTGTTGGATATGAAACCAACAAATTTCCGTTTCAAATACCTAGCCAAACTGCCGTGGAAACAACAACTACTTCTTAATTAATATATTTTATATAAAAATAATATTATATATAATGAAAATTTTTGCTAACCTTCACAATATAGTCGTTTTCGTAAGTGCGCAATTTGACATTTCGTTGCACTAGACTCGAATAATCGCGCATGGTATCCGAATCCTCGATCTGTAAAAGTTTCAAAAACACCTCACGTACATTTTGCTGAGTTAATCTTTTTGTATTCCTCAGGTAGTCGCCGAACTCATTGGATAAATTAGCAAGTGGTGCTTCAATCGAATCCGTTTGCAGTGCACGACGAATTTCCACTGGTGGCATGTATTGGGGAAGTTTAAATTTTGGTTTAAATGTACTAGTTAATTTGTTGTAGCGAAAAAGAAGAACAAAAGAAATTTAAGATAAATTGAAAAAAAAATGTTAAAAATTACACAATTTAAAAACAAATTCAAGGCAATTACACTATTATTTATTAAAGAAAAAACACATTTTGTTATATTAGCTTACATTTTATTAGGTAAACGACATGGACTGATGTTCAACTTAACCACAGGAAACTCCTCAATGCGCTAGAAAAAATTACAACATATGGTAAATTATTATCTGATATAATTTCAGTAAAGTTTGATTTTTTCTGTTTTTTTTTTATAATGTGAATTCCTTTTGTTGTTTTAATTGTATTGTTTTATTATATTGTTTAATTTTTTATTTGTTTATTTGTCATTTAAGGGTTTTCTTTCTGTTCTTTTAATGTTGTTTTAATAGTTGTTTTTCTTTACTTTTTATTATTTCAATAAGGTTTGATACTATTTTGTATTGTTTTTACAACACACGGAAATTATTATTTTTATATAATAACGGTAACGTTTAATTTTTTATTTGTTTTGTTTTTGCTATTTGTTTTTCTTTTTTTCCTTTGTTTTTATTTTTGGTTTTGTTTACTTTTATGTTTGCTTCTTTTTCATTTTGCGGCTTTGCTTCTGTTGTTTTTTGATTTGATAATTTTTTTACTTACACAAAAATGATGCTGCTCTACATTACGCACTTGCTTGCTAGACTCTTCATGAAAGACCACAACAATTGGTTGTTCTACACCTTTACGAAAGAGATGAGAATCGACAAAGAAACTATCTTTGCGATCTTCCGCACCCAATGAATACGGCACGCGCGTATTATTGACATAATAAAAGGTACGCGTTTGCACGATAATTAGTTTCTCTATAATAATATTCGGTCGTGTCGATTCCAAATTGAAGCGAAAGTAATGCGAATTCTTGCAAATATTATACGACAGTTTGAATGTAGGTGTAGTGCTAAAATAAAATAGAAAATATTGGTTACACATATTAGGTAAAAATTGTGTAACTGTGTATTCAGGGTTTCGAATTTTATCGTTCAAAAAGTTGGAATCAAAAATTAAATTTTCATTTTTTAATCCAAGATGTTTGGGATTAAAAATTTAAAATATTACTTTTTGATTTGAATGAACGCAAAAATATGTTAATTCTAAAGCAACTTCTTTTTTAATTCTTATTTATATGCTTAAGATTGAAATTTTTATTTTTTTATTTTTCAATTTGGCAGTTAATTAAAATTAATTTTTTAATCCGGTATGTAAGATTAAATATTTTGGTTTTATTTTTTAATCCGGTATGTGGGATTAACATTTTTTTTATTTTTTGATCCCGTATTTGGGATTATAAAATAATAAAAAAATTTTATCTAAATGTTGATTCAATTATTTTTTTAATGCATTATTTGCAACCCGGTGCAAAATGCATTAATTACAGTTTTTACCAACCTTTTTTTATAATGTTTAAGTATTTCAAAATCTGACTCGTCAGCATGAGAAGATACGTGGTCCTCGAAATCATTAGGTGAGACGAAATTCCTTTGGCAAATGTAGCAGCCCATGTTAGTAAGTTGAAACAACTGCTGACGCTGTTGTTGCAGACTGCCTTCATAGAGAAGTTCATGTGTGGGCGCATTTTCGTCCACTTGCAGTGAACCTGTGGTATATTTTTTTATAAAAATGCATATGTTTAAATAAAAAAGATAAAAAATTCAATATCAATATATATGCAAAATACCTATCAGCGCTGGATCACCATTGATGGATATTTTGTATTCATCTCCGTTCGGCATAAACTCCATTGATTGACCATTTTTTTGTTTTTCGTCAAATTCTTCAAGTTTCTTATTCGTATATTCAAAAAAGGTTGAGGTTTTAATACGATAAAATAGACTTCCACGTTTCGTGTTTATTAGATAATTGGTGCGATATAGCAAAGTGCCAATCTATGAAGACAAATAATTATAATTATATAATGAAATAAACGGCAATACAAATATACATATGTATTAGTAATTCGTCAGTACCTATACCATATAATATTTTTTGTAACATTTCCCACTTTACCTTTGTACAGTAGTTCTCTAGCCACTGAAGAAAAATTAAATTAACAAAAACTAATTCAAATTGCTGCTAGATTATGAAACTCTGTTTATTTTTTCTATTTTCGCGAATGTTTTTTAGGTGAAAGATTATTTTTGAAGGGAAATGTCTTACCCGATGTATCCGATGTTATATACAATGCTTTAATGATAGTATTCCTTTATGCCTACCGCTATGGTACCTCGTTATTGAAATGTGATCCAGAAATGTTATGCAGCCAAATACATGTTTCGTATTAGCACTCCTATTATTTTGGGAAAAACTATATATACTCTCTTAAGGCGAAGTCGACTGTATAACTGTATTGTTCTTGCATTCACAAAAATACACAAAGGAACTTATAGGATATGATATCTTTATGTGTAGTTTCGGCCCTTTTTAATGCAAGGTACAATTCAGAAGTTCCAGGACTTTTTTAACAACGCCGCTTCTAGTGGCGCCATCTATCTGAAATTGTTATCCCTCAATTGTGTATTCCTCAGTGTTGTCGTATAAAATTTATATAACAGCTGACTTGTATAACTGCTGAGCTATCGCGCTACATGTGACATTACATTTGTAGTGTTGGTCGGAAAATGAGCATCGAACAAAGAGCCAACATTAAGTTTTGTTTTAAACTTGGTAAAACTTTTACCAAAACTCATCAAATGGTGAAACAAGTTTATGGCGATGATTGTCTATCCCGTAGCCGTATTCACGAGTGGTTTAAACGTTTTCATGAGGGACGGGAGGACTTGGAAGACGACGAACGTTCGGGCCGGCCAAAAGATGTTGTGAACGAAAAAAACACGGAAATTGTGCGTGAATTCATTAAAAAAGAGCCGAAATCATCGCTTAAATATATGGAATCGGAATTATCAATATCCGCAGCGTCGATTTATCGTCACGCCCTCAGAAAGGTTTGTGCTCGATTTGTCCCGCACACTTTGAAACAACACGAAAAAGACCTCAGAATTCAACATTCAATATGACCAAAAATCGCGTTCATATCATCAACCATTCACCCTATTCGCCTGATATGGCACCCTGCGATTTTAATTTGTTCGGAAAACTACATTTGGCCATGAAAGGAAACCGCTATGCTGACGTTGATGTCATCCAATAGGCGACGACCGCCATACTCAACGCTATACCGACAAGGAGCCTAACACTCTCTCCCACTAAATCCACAGCGACCATCTTCACAAATTGGACGAAGGAGTACAGACTGGACCTGAATATTTCAGTCGATGGCACAAAAATTCCGACAGTAAATAATCCTAAAATTTTAGGCGTCACTTTGGACAGTCTGTGCTCTTTCACTCCTCACACGACCGCGATAACTGCCAAAGTACAGAGCCGCAACAAAATCCTCAAGTCGCTTGCCGGCAGCTCTTAGGGAAAAGACAAAGAAACGTTGTTGGCAACATACAAGGCAATCGGCCGGCCGGTCCTAAATTACGCAGCCCCAATATGGTCGTCTGGATGCAGTGACACGCAGAAGAAGAAGCTTCAGACCTGTCAGAACACTGCACTCCGAACTATCACGGGATGCCTCTTGATGTCTCCAATCGAACACCTACATAGTGAGGCCCGTATGCTTCCGGTTAAGGAACACAACGAACTCCTCTCCAAGCAGTTTCTGGTTTTCGTAGAAACCACCCCTGTAGTAGCCTGACTGTAGCGAAACCGCCTCCTAGGAACATCAAGAGGTCTTTCCTTGACTACGTCGACGACATTAGACAGTACGCCGACCGGACTTCGGACGCAACGAACTTCAGACAGGCACTGACCGCCACAGTGGAGCCATCAACACCTTCACAGACTCCCTCTCAGTGAATGGCGTAATAGGAGTCAAACCACCACCTATATCAGACATAGAGCTCGAGTTGCCTGGCGAAACCAGAGTGACCCTCGCGCAACTTCGTTCCAGATACTGTAGCAGGTTAAACTCCTACTTATCCAGAATAGACCCCGACATACTAAACACATGTCCTGCGTGCAATGAGTCTCCGCATGACACTAACCACCTCTTTGCATGCCCAACAAACCCCACCCATCTAACACCCTTCTCCCTATGGTCCGACCCGTCGAAACAGCTCGTTTCCTGGGCCTCCCGTTAGATGACCTCGACGACAACGAATCTGGAATTTATCACCCAAACGGGGACTAGGTAACAGTTACAACAACAACAACAACAACGCTATACCGACAAATGACCTAAAAAAAGTCATTCGATAACCTTCTCGAACGTGCAAAACGTTGTATTCAGGCGGAAGGAGACTATTTTGAAGGCGACCAATAAATTTTTCAAAAAAAAACAAATAATATTCGTTTTTTAATAAAAGTCCTGAAACTTTTGAATTGCACCTTGTATGTCATGATCTGTAATTTTTTTTCATTGTATTTAATAATATTTACAATTTGATCATGGAAAGAGATACAGTTCTTACAACGTTTACAAATTATTAAATTTTATTATCAAAATAATCGTCCTCCAATTGCAACTTTTCGTGCGCTTTTGCCATTTTCCACCCGTGCTCGCTATTCGTCAAATTGTTGAAAATTTCGAGCCTACATTTTCTTAACATAATGTTCAAGTGGTAATAAGACAAAGTAATGAAAATATTGCTGCCGTTCAGGCAAGTGTTGCTGAAGACCGCAATTTGTCGATTCCAAGACGTTCTCAAGAATTGCAACTGTCTCAAACCACAACCTGGCGGAATCATCTGTCCCTACTTCTTTCGAAATGAAGCTGGTGACACCGTTACTGTCAATGGAGAGCGGCATAGATCGATGATAACGAATTTTTTATGGCCGCAATTGGAAGAAGTTGATCTTGACTACATTTGGCTCTAAGAAGACGGGGCTACGTGCCACACAGCACGTGCAACAGTCATATTATTGCGAGAAAAGTGTGGCGATTCGATAATTTCAAGAAATTGTGACATTGAATAGCCTTCAAGAAGTTGTGATTTAACACCATTAGACTAGTTATTGTGGGGTTATTTGAAGTCATTGGTCTTAAGCAATAACCCAGACTCTCTACAGGCTTCAGAAGTCAATATTGAAAGTGCTATATATGACATACGACTTGATTTAGTGGAACAACTACTCGAAAATTGGGTTCATCGAATTCGTTTCTGCAAAAGAAGTCGTGGAGGCCATTTGAATGATGTTATAGTCATAACTTAATTGTATGGATTGTACTTCACATTATATAAAAATATATGAATTTCCTTAACAATTAGCGTGTGTGTGTGTTTTTTTTAAATCATATCACTCTTATTGGAAAACCCTGTATTTGCAAATGTTATATATCTTTTCGACTGCTAATCCATTCGAAATTAATTTTTCCTAACACAAACACATATGTGCTTAAGCTTAGAACCTAACCTACCTACCTTAAATGAATAAAAATATAAAACTTTATTACAAGACGTTATAAAATACAGTTAAGAGCTTTCAAAAATTCAAAAGATAGCGTAAAACAGTAATTGAACTCTTATATATGATTATAATCTTACTCATTCGTACCTACAAACACGCATAGGTACATGTATATATGTAGGTACGCGATTAAAATTCGTATGTATGGTATGTATGTGCGTGATTAAAATCACAACAGATAAACACCTGGAGAATTACCACGTTAAAATAGTAAGCATCAAATTTTATACTAACTAATTGTAGGTATAACATGCTATGCAATTCGTGTTTGTCCACTATTAATATAGAAAATTCAGTTTCCCTTCACAGAAATAACATTTTACGGCCATTTATTACTGAAATTCCAAAAGAAAATTGTTTGTCAACATTAGAAACATTGTAATCGCTGGTAATATACCTATTTGATACATTTCTTTTCAACAATTAACTTAGCCATTGATATATGTATACATGTACATATTATATATGTATGTTATATTATACATATTAATTAAAACAAATGCAATAAGAATGCAAACCATTTCGCTGCGATTTGCAACTTTACAATTATCGTTACCCATAACTCTAAACAAAATAATACGTACATACTTGTATATACATACCTACATACGTACATATAAATATTATATGTATACTGCAAATGTGAAAAGGAACATTGAAAAGAGTTCAATTGCTTTGCTTTCTAAGTGCCGTTTCACATTGGTATGCAAAAGAGTCTGATGTTTTTCAAATTTTCTTTTGGTGTCGCTCTGGGCATTCACACGGTCAAAAAGAGTCCAGCAACTCGAGTCTAGTTTTTCTGCATTCCTTTTCACAAAATGTTCGTAAATATTTGTGCGGTTCGACTGCGCAACACTGCGTGCTGCGTATTTCATTTGTATGTTGAGATGATGGTCACACATTTTGCTTGCAATGAATTACCATGAATATGGTAGAACAATATGCATAATACAAATACCTACCCGCTAAATAGTTTCAAAAAAATACTAAAGACGGGAATTCCCTAATCCACAAGAATGTATTGAATATCCGCTACTAATATTTTCAAGGCCAAATTTATAATAGGAATTTCCTAATCTTTAAGTATTAAAAACTCATAATTTCTTTACTCCGTATTAAAAATTCATAATTTCTTAACTCCATAATCTATATCTTAATTTTCTCCTTATTTACAATTTGTGATAATATTTCTATTATTCTATGCATACGTATTTGCATATTACATACAAAAATAGATAACAGAACTCAAATTTGCGATCGAATTCATTTGAAACCGAGCGCTCTTGCAACCATTCAAAGAATTTGAAAGTGAAAAGGAATGCTGAAAAGGGTAGCAGCGAGCTGTTGCGAACAAGAACACAAAGCGTGCCACCCGAACACGAGTGGCACGGTCCCTTCGTCTTTCCTCGTCGTCCCCTCGCCCACAATAAACTGGTATGAGACTCTTTTGAGTCCCTGTGTGAAACGGCACTATGAGACTCTTTTGAGTCCCAATGTGAAACGGCACTAAGCTGTAGGGTCTAGATGTAGCCTCTCTTTTCAATTGTATAAACACAGACATATGTACATATATTTATTTTTCCAAATAAATATATATAAGAAATATATTGTAATATGATAGGTATTCATATTAGTAAACATACACAGATACATACATATTATGTATGTATATAGATTTGTAAAATTTACGGATTTTCTTTGTTAGTTTTTAAGGTCTTCAGAAATTTCAGATTTTCTTTGAATTCTAAGTAATAGTCTAAGAGCCCGTGGACGACAGACTGTATGTATTTTACTAATGTTGATATTTTGCTTAAACTCACTAAGGTAATACAGGTACGAAAATTATTCGTGTTTCGAAAGTATTTTAACAAAGCTGCCGTTTGGTCATATTAAAGAGTACAATGAATGTAACGTCTAAAATTAATGGCAGACCATTTTGTTGGCTATTACCTCGTGGTAGACGTTTTGAAAATTTAAAAAAAATTAAAAATTATTTTAACAAATCTAAATATATTACTTTTAATACTTTTTAATTTTCAATTTTATTGAACTAATTTTTAGTTTATTACATGTTTACGTAAAAATTTTAGTTTGTGTTCAGATCGGACTACTATAGCATATATGTAGCTGCCATATAAACTGACCGATCGTTTATACCTTTTATGCTATAAGAAAAGCACCTGAGAATGGTTTTATAGTTTATGTCCAGCCGAAGTTAACGTTTTTTTTTTTTGTTTTTGGCTATCGTTGGCGATTCCATTCAATAATAAATGAAGAAAATAAAATAACAAAAACTTTTGAAAAATAAATGTTTCAAATTTTCATGGCATAACACAATACATACAAATTAATGTATAAGTATATATGTATGTAGATATGTAAATATGTTGGTAATATGTTTTATAGCTTTAAACTGTACCTACATATAATATATATTGTATATGATATAATCGTATATATGTGTATATTTATAAAACTGTGTGCAAATTTGTAAAATCTTACATCGTAAGTGCCATTTGCCTCCAATAAACGTTGACGAAATTCAGTTTTGGCATTCTGAATATATTTCACAAATTTTGCACGTAATATACTTTTTCGCACGAGCCATTCGGTTCTTACACCAAAAACCAAATTCTGATACTCTTCGAATAGGAACTGGCCAACCGCTTCAATTTCTATGAAATATAAAAATTCATTTAACAAATGCCTTGTTAACATTTTTTCACATTCACCAAATTTTTTTTTTTATATTTTTGCTCACCCCATTTCTCAGCTTTATGATGTTTTAACTTTTTACTTTCTGCATTTTTTTGGTTATCACATTCATCCTTATCATTTATCTCTGTAAATTGTACAAAACCATCACTCATTTTGAACATATCACACATTTCACTGCTTGAAATAATAAAATTGACACAAATAAAAATAATAACACAAAGAAATTCTCAATTAAATTATTGAAGTAACTGTTCTTTCACTTCGGCGGTTGTTTTAGCAATGCCATTTGTTGCAATCACTCTGTATATTTACAGTTTTTCTGACACGTCATATACATATGTATATAAATGATCATGCAATTGAAGTGGTGTTGTTTGGCGATAGTGATACGATGGATTCCCCGAATTAGTAAATATATTAGTGTAGTATTATCAGTGCTGGTCCACACACGAAGACTTTTGTTCATGGATAAACTTTTGTTAACCGAACCAAACTCGTAGTCATTGTATAAACCTACAAGTAACCAAAGAATCAGCTGTTTTCCTATGTGTGTGAAACAGCCGTGATCACCTGATCGAATCGCCTTTTTTTGACACAGAGATGTAAATGAAAGGCTTGTTTGCGAACATGTATTTGTAATAGAGAATGTAATGGATAGCAGCTTAGTGTCATTTGGAAGTTTTAGTAGTAGAATATTGGTTGAACCGTACCAAGTGTGATTTTAGTAGTAGAATTTTCGAGGCAACCCGTACCAAGTGGGCATTTTTGCGTGTGTTTAGTAAAAATCTTAAGATTGGTTACTTGTAAATTTATACAATGGCCTTTCGTCTATCCCATCCATCAATCCAATGCTAAAGTCACACTTGGTACGGGTTGCCTAATAATATTGTACTACTGAAACGCCCAAGTGCTTCAAATCTGGTAGTGTGTCGCGGTGTTACGTTTTAAAATTTTTAACTTTAGAATGTTTCTTTACATATTCAAATATTTTTCGATTATTAAAATTCCAAAAGATTAAATTTACATAATTTTGTCTAGATTATTTATTGTATAAAAATATTATTAAATGTTTCTAATTTTATCAAAAAAAAAATTATATAAAATATTTGTGTAGCGGTTTGTAAAAGAACCTTTTCATAAAATAGTTATTAAACTACTTCCGTTTATTTATATCGCTGTGTCAAAAAAGGCAGATTTCGATAATTTGATGTTAGCTGTAAAATTCTTGGAAAACAGCTGAGTCTCTTGTTACTTATAATATTATATATATACGCCTATACATTGACCAATATTCTGTTTCTTGTTCGTAACATTTCTTTTCATTTTGAAATTCTTAAAATGGTTGCCATTACCTCGATATTAAATGAAACTGAACAAGCATTCAACACGCGACTACCTAACATACCACTTTCCAAGCTTTGTGTAACGGTTCATACTAACATGACGAAGCGCAGAAAACATATGGTATGCCACTGCTTTTAGTGTTTCTCTCTTATAAAAAATGGCGACTGTTGCTTGACAAAGCGTAAAAAGATGAGAGTTGCTCAACTTTTTGCTTGGCTTCGCGTCGAAAACTTACTTCATACAAAAGCGTATATCGAACTTTTCTGTCAAAACCAATGACGCAAAGAGAAGCAAAACTTCTATGTGAATTGCCCATTCGCGTGGAAACTAAGACATAAACACCGTGCACCCGGTTATATTTGTCAACCGGCCTTAAGAAACTCATAGAAACATTAACAGAAATCTGTAGTAGTAGTATCTCTTCGATAATTAACCAGTAATTTAACCGATAGATGGCTGCCGAGGGAATAAGCAACACCAAAAGAGACGTCGCCAACAGTTGAAACTGAGCAACAAAATTTTTTTTATGTAAACATACAGTAAATAATATAAACATATTTCGTATCCATACAAAAGATGTTGGTTTGTTATTGATTAGGCTGGCGCAACGCAACAAATCCTTAAATAGTAACACCTCGTACATTATTCGAAATATTTCTTAAGTTAACGCTAGTAGTTTCATTAATATTAATATAATTTTTTTTTTTTTATATATTATATTAATTAACGCCTCACTTTCAGAACTTGCCAGCACTTAATCGAAATTTTTCTATTTACTACTGAACAACTGTCACTATTTCCTTGCAACACTGCGTTGGAATTTCACACAAAGAAAGAAAAGGAATAAAAAAAACGGCAGGAAAACCCACATTCGTCATTTTTCTGCTTTTGGCAGACGGTAATTTTTTCGTTGCAATATTTTTTAGTTAATAGCCGGGGATACCTCAAAATTTAGTATTTGCATGAATAAACTTAATAGTGAGCATTTATTGTTCGTAGATTGCGTGCAAACAAAGGAGAAAATATAATCCGGGAACGTTAAATAGGTAACCAAGCGTGAAGATATGGCAGAAATGGAGTTGCGTACACGTTCTAAATCAAGCCTTGCACGGGGTTGTTTAAACGCTTTCTCAATATATTTGGTCATATTTTCAACATTTACTGCGTTCACATCCCTAATGGCACATGTTGACGAATTGGATTTAGATGAAGATTTAGTTACACAAACCAATCCATTGATGGAGTTAAATGAGGATAATTGGCAATTAATGCTAAGCGGCGAATGGATGGTGGAATTGTAAGTAAAGTTAAAAAATATGTAAAGCAGTAGTGGCCCCCTGCTTTGTACCCCATATAGTGCTGTGATTTTGCGAATTCTGTAATTATCACATACAGTTAATGCAGCAGATGTTGCAATATATATATAATTACATATGTACATGCATACTAACGCTTAAACACACTCATAGCTTCAATGCAGGTAGTTTTGCGGCCGGCTAAATGGTTACTTTTACGTGTAACATTAAAATTTAACATCGATTTTTCGATAAATAAGTTATTGTTGTTATTATATTAAATTAACATGTCATTGTTGCTTAATTTAAGAGTACTATGTGCATTGTAACATTTCTTATTAACATATGATTCATTTTTAATCTGGTTTGACAAATTTACTTATTATGTCATAAAATATTCAATTACTAAGAGATTATTATATAATTTACTTAAGCTTTGCTCCATGGTGCCCCGCCTGTAAAAACCTCGCGCCAACATGGGAACGCTTTGCTAAAACCGCAAAGGATCTACGTGTAAGTGTGGCCAAGATTGACGTAACCACATCTCCTTCCTTAAGTGGACGTTTCTTTGTTACCGCTCTGCCAACCATTTATCAGTAAGTGATTATGAATAATTCAAGAAACAAATTATAAAAGGGTTCTTTTACGAATTTCAGCGTCAAAGAAGGCGAATTCCGTCAATATCGGGGATCACGCGATGGCGACGCTTTAATGTTGTTCCTTAAACAAAAGCAATGGCAAAAAATCGAACCAATTTCAGCATGGAAGAAACCTGACACCATACACATGTCTATACTATCGTATTTCTTTAAATTATCGCACACTTTAAAGGTGAGAAATTCTATAACTAATTAAAAATAGAATTAAGGCAACCAGCTTAATTTGAGCAGATACGTAAACTTTTAAAGCAATTTGTGAAATATATATTTATCACGGTATTCGGTAAACCTTTTATACTTATGCTGTATAAAAATATCTCCACACCTTACAGGATTTCAATGTACGTCTCCAGGAAGAATACGGTCTACCAACTTGGGGTTCATACGCGCTCTTCGCCATCGGTACGATATTCGTTGGCGCCGGTCTGGGCTTGTTACTCGTTTGTGTTGTCGACTTTTTATATCCACCAAAGAAATCGCAACGTCAAAGCTTCTCCGAATTCAAAGAAAAATCTGCTGGCTCAGATGGCATAGAAGACTTAGCTGCTGATGAAATTGAGGATGAAAACGATTTAGCTGATGAGCAGGATGATGATGAAGATGACGACGACGACGACGAAGACAACAATGAAGAACAAGATGAGAATGTCGATGCGGCTGGTGTAGAGGAAGATGATGCACCTGGCACTTCGGATGGTGAGAAAAACTCAAACGCTAGTGAATCAGAAGAGCCCGAAAGTGAGAAGGACATCAAGAAATCGGCTGGCGATGGCAATACACAGACACAGGTATTCATTGAAAAAGAGAAGAAGGAAACGAGCAGCACTAGTCCGGCTGAGGTGCGTAAACGCAAACCACGAAAAGTTGATTAAGATTCGCAGAATCGAAAACTTAAAAACAAAAATTGAATAAAAAATAATGCGTTTTTAAATATACAAATATTCACATAAAATTTAGTTAGCGTACAGAGTTTGAACTCTGCTCTTATTTTGCGCACGCCTCCTTTTTGGCTATATGTTTTTTTATATTTTGTTTAGTTATTCAATTTGTGTATTTTGCTGTATTAAAGGAATATTTCGTGCATCGAATGAAATAGGTGAACTTATAAGTAATTACATTGAAAGCATCTGTTTTATTAAAAAAAAAAATAGCACGAGATAACTGATTAGCCCACACAAAACATAACTGTATATCACATTGGTGTATTACTGAATTGAATTTTAATTATGAAACTTATACAAATTACAAATACAAACTAATATTGCTAAATACAACAACGCACAAATGTTAATTGCAGTTTTTGAACATAAATGTTATTGGCTTCAACTAACTCTATAACACTCATTTGTTGCTTTTAGTGTTTGTTTGAAATTGTGCGAAAAAATACAAATTTGCCTTATTTAACTGGAAAGCAAAGGAGCGATCTAAACATTTGCAAACGAAACATTTTAAAATAATGTTTTTTTAATTTTTGTACTAATTTTCTTTTAGCAGACGGTGGAGTGAAAAGGAAATATATAAAAGCGTGTGCAAATTGTACACTAATTAAATTTAAAAACAACATAATATGAGATATTCTAAACTATAACAAAAAAAAAAAAACGAAACATTGTGTAGCAAAAGAACACAAAACTGACTGTAAATTAATATTTAAGATGCCGCTTATTACTGATATTTTTCCGCACTTTAAAACGCGTTTGTATTTATTTACAAAATCAATTACACAATCATCACCATTTTACTGTGCATTACCAGCAAATCTTGATCTTTTTTATATACTTTATTCATTTCTTGTTTGAAAATAATAATAAACAAAATTTTTTTTTTTCTATAAAAACTATTTACTTGAAAGCATAAAATAAAGTTTATAAAATTTTGCGAAAACTAAGATATTTTTTACTTTAAAGCTAGCTTAGTTTAAATTTTTATCAGCTAACGGTACGTGTTATTGGGTTTTGACTGTACTTTGTTTTTTTTTTCTAACAAATTACACGCAAAAGAATTTTCGCTTCCTTGAAATTTGTAATCAAAAGTATTTTCTAAATATATTTTTCTAAGCAATTTTAACTATGTATTTTTAGCTTAAAACTTATTTTTAACAAAAAAAAGTATTTTTCTATTTAACAAAAATTTGTTTTAGCGCTAATATAAAAATTTCCTTTTAAGTATAAAAGGCGTTTATATTATTTTTTTATATATAAAACTAAATTCTGTTTTAAATAAATAAATCTTAAATAAATCAACTTTGCATGCTTCTTTATTTATATGAGTATCCGTTTAGGTTTATTTATATACATACGAATAAGCACATATAATATATTATTTTTTGAAAACGAAAATTCAGCGAAACAAAGAAAACTTACTCAAAAAGTTATTAGATAGTGACTACTTGGCTTCTGTTAACTTATAAGAGAAATATTTAGAAAAAAGTAATAAATTTAAAATATAAAAATTTCTATGCTAAAAATGTTTGTAATAGATGCGTGTTTATAAACAAATTATTAAATATAATTAAGTGTATAATAAAAAAAATTAAACGACTTCAATTCTATTTTGGGTATAATTTTACTCTTAAGAAATAATGGAATAGTCTACTTTAGAGAAATAAAAAATCGAAAGAAAGTTTCAAAATTTGAATTATTTTAATATTTTTAGTGTTGGTTTAGTTTCTTACTAAAAAACGAATCTAACAGTAAACTTAACTTAAAACTTTAAATTAGTTTTTTTCGAAACTAGCGGTTGTTGTAGCGGTTATCTAATCGTTTGGGTGGTAACTTTCGGATTGGTTGTCATCGAAGTCATCTAACGGTAAGACCAGAAGACGTGCTGTTTCTACGCGTTCGAAACCTAAGGAGAGCATTGTACCCTCCCCTCTGTCACAACAACTCACATAGCCCCAGCACATTGATAAATTCCTATAAACTGCTCCATGTCACAGAACCGACAGTTAGCGGAGTATAAAATGCGACAATGCGTTTGTTTTATAGGAGGTTGATTACATTTTTAAACCTGCTGAGGTTGTAACCACCCATTAGCAACTTAGCCTGGCGCATGCTTTTGGAGTTGTTGCCAATATTTCTCTCTGCCACCTCTTTCTTCCTTGCAGAGCAGCTCTTTTATAGTATTAGGACTCCGGTCCTACCATTCTAGTCGAAGCTGCAGAGCGGGCAAGCTCGTCAGCCACTTCGTTCCCGGATATACCCTTTCGACCTGGCACCCAGATAAGGTGCACTTGGTTACGACCCGATGATCTATTCAGCCGTTCTATGCATTCCTGCACCAGTAGCGATTTAATATCATAAGCAGAGAATTCTTTAAGTGCCGCTTGGCTATCACTGAATATAATGATACTTTCGTGGCGACAGTTGCGTTGGAGGTCTATTTTTGCACACCGACTGCAATTCCCTCCGTTCGTTCCGTTTTTGAGTCGTCGGTGTACCACTTGACTGCGCTGTCCCTTAGCAGGAGATCAAGCAAGGAATTATTCCATTCAGTCTTGCTGCCAAGGGTGACTTTAAACTTTCTTGTGTAGTTTACCATTTTGGAAATACTTTCTCTTGAGAGAAGAGCCAGTGGTATTTCATCACTTAGGACTTTAATTTGTTGAGACGAGATTACCTTCCATCTGCAAAACCCTTCTGGTGTCTGCTTGATTGATTACTAGGCGAAGCGCTGTGAGTTCTAGTGCTGCCGTCGGGCACGTTCGCATTGCACCCGATGTGCAGAAACCGGCACGTCGTTGGAGTTTCGATAGTTGAAGTCGTACCGAAGTCTGCGATGCTTTTGTAGCGCAAGCCACCGCCCCATAGGTAATAAGCGGTCTCACGATTATGGTGTACATCCATCTGATAATCTTTGACTTGCAGCCCCAGGATTTCCCTGTAAGTCGATTGCACACCATGAATGCTTTTGTAGCTTTGACTATTGTCAGATCTACATGCTGCTTACACCAAAGAGTGGAATCCAGAGTAAGACCCAGATCTGTTTCTCAGGCCGGGCAGGGACTTTCTTCTAGTGATCGTTTTCGATGGGCTGATGTTCAATCCAACCCCACTGCACCATCCCTTTGCCAGACCAAGTCTCGAATTTGCCTCTAGCTAATATAACAATGTCATCCGACAATAACAATGTCATCGAAAAGGTCATCTACGACTAGGCTCCATAATAGGGGAGATAACAATCCAGCCTATGGGCAGCCTCTTGTTATGTCGAGACGATCTAGTATCCACATTCATTTCTCTAGTGAGCACCTTCGATGTCTAGGAAGGTGCATAGCATCACGTCTCCACTATCCAGTGAACTTTGGATTTCCGAAGTTAACTGGTAAAGAGCATTATTAGTTGACCTACCTGCAGTCTAAGCATACTAATTCGCATGTAGGGGTGCAATCTTCAGCGCGTTCGATCTTATTGCGTGATCAATGATCTTTTCCATACCTTTTAGTAGGAAGGAGGTGAGACTAACTGACCTAAAGTATTCCGCCAGTGAATACTCTCCCCTTCCTACTTTTAAATGCAGATCAACTTTGCAGGGATAAAAAGGTGTTAGATGAGTGGAATTCATTGGGCATGCAAAAAATATTAGATTTATGTGAGGACTTATTGCACGCAAGACATATATTTGGTATGTCGGGGAAATTTTGGATAAGTTGAAGTTTAACCTGCTACAATATCCAGAAAAAAGTTGCGCAAATGTCACTCTAGATTCTCGTGGCAACTCGAACTTTTTGATTTTTGACAGGGGGCATCCTGTAACCGTTCGGAGTGCAGTGTTCTGATACGTCTGTAGGCGATCATATCGATGCTGCCTTGTTGATAACCGACCGGCCGATTGCCTTGTATGTTGCCAACAATGTTTCTTTGTCCTTTCCCCAAGTGCTGCCGGCTAGCGAATTGAGAATTTTGTTGGGGCTCTGTACTTTGGCGATAATAGCGGTCGTATAAGGAGTGAAGGAGACCAGGCTGTCAAATGCAATAGCTAAAATCTTAGAGTTGCTGACAATCGGAATTTTAGTCCTTCGTTCAATTCGTAAATATGGTCACCGTGGATTTAGTGGGGTAGAGCCACGACAGCCGGTTCTACGTTACCGGAATTTATCCATTTTTATTATAGGTTTTATCCAGCCAAGGGCTGTTATTTTGGCGATCTAAACCTGTTCGGTAAGTTCTCAAATTCTTATGAAACGATTTACTTGAAATTTGGCATGAATTTTATTTATATGTATGTACTTGTATGTCGGGAAGCCACATGAAAGGATCTTCCACTGCTGCGACAATCGAAGTTGTTGTTAAAATCGTTTGTAATGCAAAAGTTCTATGGTAACTTTTAGCATTACTCGCTGCTTCGTTGAATAATTGATGCAAACATTAATATGGATTATTCAGGGTTATAACATAACCTCACATTTTCACGTGTAGAATAAAATCTATGATGCTTTTTATTTCAAAAATTGTAATAAAACAACAATTTATTTTAAATTTTGAATTTACTTTTCTTTTATTTTTTTCAGATTCTTATTTCTTTCTTTTTGGTAATTTAATTCTCATTTATAATTGTTTTTGTTTAAAATTAAACTAACTAATGATAACTAAAACACATATATTCATCTTACATTTAATTACACATTTTTGTTGTGCTATTTAAATAAATAACAAACCAAAGGCAAAAATTGTTCAAAAGTCTGTTTTTTGTACGAAAAGAAAATGTGAAAGTTGCAACCAAAATGAAATAAATGTAACAGAAAGTATTATTTTCTTTTTTATTAAAGTAAAACATTAATATTAAAAGAATAAAAATAAAATGTGAAAAAATCCCTGCAATTTCGTTTAAGTATAGCTAAGTTGTAAGTATGTGTATGGGGGTGGATGAGCCAAAACGTTATTAGGTTTATGCCAAATCTCAACTATTGCGATTTGTGGTTTTACATACATACTTGTCTGTATATAGATATACATATATAATGTATGTATATTTTATGTAAAAAATTGTAAGTGCTATTGTAACAATTACATATGTATATAAATGTTAATATATATTCAAAAGTAAATGTGATTTTTTTAATTCTAAATAGTTGTGCGAAAAATTGAGCTCACGAGTCATGGCTGATTTTTACAAATTGTTTGTATATAATTTTAAGTATATCGCAAAATCTCGAATTATTAGTTTTTTAATTTCGTATTGAAATATCGTTAGTTCTTCAAAATATGCACTAAAAGAAATTTTATTTTATTCAAATATCGCATTTAAAGCATTAAAGCCAAATAACTAATTTTTTTTAATTACAATTGTTAGAAAAAGTTATAGATATGCATATTTTTACAATATTAAGGTTAAACAAAATTATACCCATATCTCGTGTATTTCGTTCTTTTCTATTCTCGCTCAATTCGCTTTTAACGCGTACATTAGTTCTTTATATCACTAACTGTTGTTTATTACAAAAATTATTTACTATTGGTTTTGTTTATTATTTTTTTTTTAGATGTTAACGGCACTTGCATGTGAATACAATGTTGAAAACTGTAGTCTTCAGTAAAAAAAAAAGCTTCACACATTATTAATCTGTATAAAAATGTTTAAATACATATTTTAGTTACTTTCATGTATCATGTATGTATGTATGTATGTAATAACTACCATTGTAACAATTATATTTTTAATGATTATATAAATCCCTGGCTATTGCATATTTGGTCTATTGTAGTTGGGTTTATTTGAGGGGTGAATGGGTAAAAAATTGTATGGGGTTAGGGGTAAGGCTAGTTATGTTGGGTAGGATACGTAAGGTTCAGGTTATTTATGTTATTTGTGTATATATAGTTTCTATATTTGTAAAAAAAAATATTTTGATAAAAAATTGTACTATTGCAGTGTATGGAGGATACTAGGGGGAGTTATGCATTGAGATGCGTGCTGGGATATATGTATTTGTATAGGGGTTTATAGGAATTTGTTGTTGTATTGTATTGTTATGATTTTCAAATACTTCAAGTAATTGTTGTGCATAAAAAATTTCGTGACGGTGAAAACATAAGTATTTAGTAAAATTTAAGTGAAACTGAGTGAGATTTACAGGTTTCTCTTACTTTATGGTACTAAAATGAATCAAGTGCAAGAGTTCAGGCGATGTTCTACGCGAAGCGAATTTCAGTTAATTTTATATAAAAAAGTTAATTTTTTTTGTTATTTCATTAAATTAATAAATTTTAACTCCATCAGTTGTGTTGCTATAAATCACATTTAGAAACAATCGAAGCAACTGGCAACAGTGTAGCACTTTTGCCTTAATTCATTTCATCCTTAAAACATTTGACATTTTCATGTTTGTGTGATTTTAATTACTTTAAATATTCAAAAAAAAAAAGGAAGAAAATTACTGAAATCTCGTAGTTCTCTGTTTACGAGATTGAAATGAGAAGAGTGAATTAGGCTGCTTCAGAAATTTCGCTTAAATAATTGTGAAAGCAAAATAAGTATATCGACTCACAATAAATTTTTAAGTGTGGGCCAACTTTGAATGATTATATATATAAATTGTAAGGCATAAATACTGGCAATATTCGCTCTAGTTTTCAATGATTCAGCTCCTGGGCAGCTGTTCAACTCTTCACAATCATGTCGCATTTATAATAGATTACTTACTAACTATGAGGAAACTTAAACAGGACAATACAAAAAAGTTTAATATTTTAAATATTAATGAGGTATGTGTGGTGGAAATTTTGAAAATTGAATTTTGTAAACCGGTCTATTGCATAAAATTGCAGGATTGTCTTGTGCATGCTGCTGTAGCTTTGATTGCTGAGCACTACAGCAGACGCACTACTAAAAAAAAATAGTAATAATAAAAACATTAGTACAAGATTGTGCATCGATATATCGCCATTGTGTATAGACTTGTGTGGGTAGACGCGTTAGTTCGCGCTTTGCCAACGCGCTATGCCACAAAGTCCAGCGGCCGATTGAAGCCACCTTTGCGATTCATATATTGACGATACTTGCGTTTTAAGATAACATGCACTTCACCAACATCGTTGCCTTCAACCTTCTTATTTTTGGTGGTATCGAAAGTGCAGAAACCCATTGTTTTCAACATTTCTACTTCTTCGGGTGATTTACCCTCCAAATCGGCTTCTGTGATTTTGGGTCGCTCAGCGGCAGCGCCGCGTCGCCCAGACGACGTAGACGCCGAAGTAGATGGATGTCCACGAGAACGTGATCTAAATATAATAAGGCGGTGTTTTAGTCAATTTTATAAATCTATAACGAGCTAAATATAAATTATCTAATAAGTAAAGCGCTTGTATTTTGATTACTACGTTTGGATCTTGAAATTCTAATATAGACTGACCACCGTTTCAGCATTTTATCAGAAAAAACAAAACTTGAAATTAATATTATGTACTAACGATAAATTTATTTCGTATATATTTTTATTACAAAAAGTGTTATAATCAATATTATTTCGGAAGATCTCCAGCACACAGCATTTAAGACATCCCTTCAATAAGTGCAGCACGTTCTTTCGCTCGTCCTAATACGGCAGGACCTGATTGATTCAATTTGAACGCACGTTCGATCACGAACATTTCTGTGGCAGTTGAACTCATGCCCACAAATGACAACCAGTCGTTTACAACCATACCGGCTGCCAGTACATCACTGCCACGATTTACTGTGCCTGCAACTAATGGCACTTGCAACAGTGATGATAATTCATCTTGATCTTGTATACTGGTTTTTGGATGTACCATGCCACCCAGATTACTTAGCACTGCATATGAACCCACAAGCGGAGTTTCGGCTATGGTTTGCCTGAACACTTCCACTTTCAATACATCACCGATAATTTCTTCGGTTTCTTTGTCAAGATCGGGATGCACCAGAGCAACGTAGTCATTGCATGCGATCACATTTCCCAATGCTGAAAGACGTTCTTCCACGCGCTGTATTTTCACTGAATCGGGTAATGTGTTACGCAGATGTTGTAGTTCAACATCTGTAGTAGAATGTGGTACAAGTAAACCATTACGGTTACCTACTGTGAGGCGACCAATAATACGGCAGCCACCAATGCTGGCATGCACAACAGGTATGGTCTCGGCCAATTCACCTTCGTACACACTGTAAAAAGCCTCAGAGCCGCCAACAGCTACTAGGCAATATGCGTTTGTTAGTTTGCTAAAAACACCGATGTCATCGTTGTTCTCAAATTGTACGCGTAATGCCATTTTGCTTATTTTCTATTCAATTTCACTCTTTTTCACTTGAACTGCTACTTTACGGATTTAGTATTGACTCAGTAATAATGAAGTTTGCCAATGGTAAATGAGTTTATAAACTATATAATTAAATTTTGTGATGAAATCCTTTGATATCTTCGGAAAATTTCGTTAAGTATTTCACTTCACGTGGTAATGTCAAAGAATTATGTTGGAATGTCAAAATTGACATAAAAATGCGGTACGAAAAAAGCGAGGGAAATGTTAACCTTAGGGTTGCATTTGGGTCGACATTTGAAATATATTTACTATTTCACGAAAAACATCAATATTGCGAAAATATAAATACACTTATTTACTATAAATAAGGCAAATAGAAAAATGTTATACTTAGTTCTGTGACGTTTCTGTCTTGGGTTAATACACTACACTTCATTATTCACCTAGAACGGCGTCGACTTGCTCTGTCTCGTTCATGACTGCGGCTGCGGGTCCGGTCACGATCCCCTCCACCACCTCCTCCTCTGTCTTGAGAACGTCTACGCAAAGCACGGCTACCGCCAGCTCCCGTTTCGCGTTCCCGTTGCCTTTCACGTTCTCTGGAGCGCCGTTCACGACGCTTTTTACGTTCAGAACGCTCTTTTTCACGTCGCCGATGCGATGGAGATGGACTACGTCCCATTTCGGTTTGTGTAGGTGTGTAAAGGACGAGGAGGTAGTTGCAACAGTATACTTTGGCGCTATTCTACTCGTGCTTGAAGGCGCCTGTAGTGAAAACGTTTGCTATTGTTTTTCGTAATAAATCACTTTCTTGAGAATGCCTGCCAAGCCAATTTAAGTGCTAATGTTGTAGTGTACTATTTGCTAAATTTAATTATTTATTATAAACGATCTTACCGTATTTAATACTGTGTCTTACTATATAAATTTGACACCGGCATTAATAATTTTTAAACTTAAAAACTAAAATAAAAACTATTACACCAAGCGCGGCGTTTCGTCCCCTTTTAATTACTGCTTCTTTATATCGCCAGAACGGCCTTGCCGTTCACAATGGTACAAAAATAGGGTGGCAAAGCTGTTAATAGATTTTAATTCTGAACATATAATAATTATTTAGAACAGTGGGATGATGCTCTTAAAAATAGGTTTATTATATATAAGTAAAGTTTAATAAATTTGATATTTATTATATAAGCTTTCTAATTCTTTTTTGAACCACTTTAATAAGAAGTAAATCTTTGAAATTAAATGCAATTAAATTTTTGTTCATGAAATGTTTTTGCAATAAAGTTTTTTAATTTTTTTGGAAGAACTTCATACTGTATAGAAGTCGTTAGAAATGGATTGTGATAATCGGTAAAATATTTCTTATATACCATATATCATATAACGGGAGAATTCTGTTCGTCTTTCAAACTTAAAGTTTTGCATTTACGGGGAAAAATCTGGCAACATACTGTAACAGCAACTCTGAAATTTGAAATATCCCATTATTTCTCCAGCCAACATCAAATATGACATCATTCTCAATAAATTTGTGATTTGAATGAACAAATGCCAAATTAATAATAGTGCGTATTCATTCTTGCATGCGAGCTATTGGCACCGGAAAACCGACGCGAATGCAATTGGAAAATCGAGCCATAGGTAATTTTAGGCGAATTAGAACAGAATAGAAGCAAAAGCGGAATCGAACGAACGTCGACTCGAGTGTTTGCGCTGGAGTAGCTCAAAGAAAAGGAACGTCGAAAAGTTGTTGTAAGGCTTTAATTAATCGGTTTGAAAATAATTTGGGCAAAAATTAGTAAATATTAAAGAAAAATGAATGCGGTGTATTGACTTTAGACGGTGTTTAGTTAATTAGTGCAAAAATTGTATTGTGTGGAGTAATGAGTAAAACTGTGATAAAAATTGCGCGGCGATTGAAAGTGAAAATTCTGTGAAAATAAGATTGGCCAGACACAGGCTTTGAAAATCGATGAGATTCGACAATTGACATTGCATATCTATATTTTATTATTTATCATAGTATTTTGTTATTTTTGTTGGGAACCGTGCTTTAAACCGGCAAACGCCCACTCATTTTTCGCTAGCAGGTTTTATTTTTAATATCAGTAGCGGCTAAAAGGTCGACAATGACATAATCGCGCAAATCGTGATATACATATATTTTTATAAAAACCTTTTTGATTTAAAATGTTAGATTATATTTCTTTCCATGTGAATTATTTAGCTTTTAATACAATTGTGCTAGTAATACAATTCATCTAAACAGCCACAGGCTATACAAAATAATCCTTAATTACAGACAACTGCTTCAATAGGGCGTATGCTTTGGCTTACTTTTTTCTGTTGCTACTTATAAATTACCCTATTTGAAACAGCAAAAGGGAAATTTATGGTAATAACAACATCACGGAAAAGTGGTTTTAGCTTCGCGTACTATTGCTGATGGCGTCCAATAGAGTTGCCGTTTATTATATCAAGTAAAATAATGCTATTAACATTCGTATTAAAGTTAACTTATCGAAATATTTATCGTTATCTTAAAACGTTTTCCCTCTTCTCTAGTATGGCAACATTTTTTCTCTTATTTGATTTCCACATTTAATATCTTTGCTTTCCTTTTCTGCAATTCCATGTTATTCACGAATTCACTTTTGTTTCATTTTCCAATTTAAAAAATTCCCTCTATTCCCCTTTTCGTTTGACGGAGTAGCGTTGATTAGTCTGTAGTTGATTGAATTCGCTCGCAACGCCAATTTGAGTATCGTTGTAGCAGAGAACGTAAATGTTCTTCTACGTTCTCTGGTTGTAGTCGACGTTCGGATTATCAGACGCAGTCGTTTCGTTGTTTCATTCTAGTTGCTTTATTCGTTTTCGAGTGCGTGTTGCGACATAGCGGTATTATATTTGCTTCGGTGCTGGCGCTAAATTCTTCAATTAGATATAATTGTTGAAAGAAAAATTCTTATTTAAATAGAGAGAAAAATAGGCCGCTAGTGGCAAAGTCCGAAATTTTGAATTATATATTTCTTGTTATATTTAGTGCAAATTTGTTCGAAATTGTTGTGACGGTATCATTTAATAATAAATCAGTCTATAGAAAAACCTACTATCGTTCCGCGCAAATATCTAATACATATTTACAACAAAAAAAAGCGGTAGCTAATGCGACAGAAAAAGTGAAAATTTGGATGTGTTTTTAGTGTATGTGTGAAAATTTCAAGTCTAAAAAATTTCAATAGAAAAAGTATAAGAAAAAACATTTTCTTTTTTTTCTGGCAAAGATCGGGTTGAGTTTGAGAGCAGAACAAAAAGAAAATTACTTTATAAGAAGGGTTAAAAAGAGGACTACAAAGGCAGCCAGCGCACGCACTTGTGACAGAAGAAAAAGGTTTAAAAGAGAAGGCAATCGCGGATAAAATCACGCAATAAACGGTAAGTGAAAATTGTGTGTAAAGAAAAATGAAAAAAATTGGTAACGAATAAAATTGTGCTCGTGTTTATGGCAAAATTGATTAACATCCTAAAAACGTTACAATTGAGTGTTCGACTTAGTATGTGTTAAAATGAAAATCCTAAGTATCCCCATTAATTTCATTACAACATTATTTGTTATAAGCACGTTATTATTATTTAAACTAGTTGTACAGTATTAAATTTTTTATTATCAAAATTTGAAAGTTTAAAATGACGTCATGTTTTTTTTTAAAATTGGTATACGCTGTCCTACACTCAGCCACAATTTTTAAGTAATGCCATACCGCATCGAAAAATTGCGGCTGCGCTACCTATATTTTTGTTATCTTTGCTTTCAGCGTTTTACTCTTTTTCTTTCGTGCTTGCATATGCGCTATTGGCCACTATTTACCGACAATCTCCTCTCATTTCGTGGTTAATGTTGTTGTTATTTAACATGTTTGCTACCGTTCCGTTTGTCCATTGGTAGTGTAAATGTGTTGTGTGTTTGCCGCAACAAAAATACACGTACGAATGTCATCATCGATTCTTCTTATTTACTTCCATTGATTCGTAATTTTGGGTTTGGCCGTAATTTTGGAATTTATAATACAGTTTTTGACGTCAAATGCATGTTTTAAATTTTAACAAAACTCCATTTAAAATGCTCCAAAAACAACATTTTTATTTAAGTGCATCTTACGTAAATATAAATGTATTTTGGTATATACTCTTATATTTATATTTTTAATCCCTAATATTTTATTTTTATAAGAGGTGTGTTTAGTTCGATATATGTGTATTCTAAAAAATTCTAATATTTAAAATTCTAATTAATTATTAAAAAAAATGAATATTATAAACAAAAAAAAAAATGTATATTGCATTTTTTCATTATTTAATGCACCCTGTATATAAATTCGATATTGTACAATATATTGTATACGTTATTTTGATAAATACATATCGATGTCTGTTTAATATTGGCATCGTCTTGTGTCGTAAACGAGAAAATGGTAGAATGGTGGGCAGATAGATAAGCGTGGGCGGACATGCACATTGGAAGGAAATATTAATTGAAAGCACCTACTTGAGATTTTATGCAATAAAAGTAAAGGAACAAACTATCAGCTATATTTTTTTTATTAATCTAAAGTAAGTTGGTTCGCTAACTTCGCATATCTGATCCGACAGCACATATTAATTTCAGTAACTTTTGATAAATATTGCGCTAATTGTATATATATGTGTAGGAAAATCCAAAGTCTTTATAATTAACATAATATATACAATATTCATTTCAGTTTAATTTTGGCATGTGATAATAAAACTGTAATAAAAACAACAAAACTAACTAAAAAACCACAAAAACTGAATTACTCCAAAGATAAAAACAAAAAAAATATTCGACAATTCATGTAAAATCCAAGTTAAAAAACAAAAATTAATTTTTTAATTTTGCATAGCACTTCCTTTTCTTCGTACTACTTCTTTTAAACGTCTTGGTATTGATTCGTCCAACTTTCTTGTTATGAATGTGTCCATATTGTACCACTCTTCCTTTAGTATCTGTTCCATTTGGGATTTTCTCGTAAAATGGCGCTATCTCAGTCTTCTTTCTAAATGATCCCATAGATGCTCTATGGGATATAGATCTGGACTTTGAGCAGGAGTTTTAATTACTCCAGAGCAATTGTATAAAAGCCACAGCTTTGTATTTAATGCAGAATGCTTCTTGTTGTTATCTTGGTAAAACTGGAAAGTCGCTCCGATCATAATTTTGCGAATTGGTTAATTTTTTCCCAACTCCTGCTGCCGACACACACCCCCAAATTATAACGCCTGCAGCTCCGTTTTTCACAGTGGCCACTGAATTTCGCTCTTCCAGTTCTTCTTTGGGTTTCCTGTACAGATCTGTCATCGTATCCAATAAGATTAAATTTGCTCTCAACTGCAAAGATCACATTCAGTGGGCTTGTTTATGTACGTTTTTGCAAAGCATAATCATTCCAATCTATTTATGTATTTTTGGATATACTTACGTGGCTTTCGCGCAAGTCTTTCCCTGTAGTCATTGATTTTCAAATAATTTCGAATGGTTTGGGGTGTCACTTCTCTATTTAGGTTTTTTTTTTAACATTTTTGGCGAACCAACCAACGTTCGTCTGTTTTAAAAAGACCTTAGGGCGACCACATCTTGGATGATTTTCAGCCGACTTCTTATATTTAAATTTTTTTATAATATAGTGAATAGTTGTAGGTCGCTTATCAACTAATTCGGTTATTTTGCTTTCGGTTAATCCACTTTTAAAATGCTTGACGATCAGATTTTCTTATTTCTTCAGACACTTCTTTCTTTTTGCGACACATGTTTACTACTTCATATATTTACGTTAAATATCGCTTCTAAATGAAATGCTGCAAAACAATGTTAAGTAAAATATTCAAACCAGTCGTTACTTTTTACCAATAATAATTGGAATTCGTTCTTTTGCGTAGTTGTCGAATATTTTTTTGCTTTAATTTTCGGGTTAATTTAGATTTTGTGCGTTTTTGGTTCGCTATGTGGTTTTGAATATCATAAAACTCATCAAGTTACAAACTAAATAAATTATTGATTTAAAAAACACTGTTTTTTGTTTTGTTTATTTAAAGAATATTTTAAAAAATAAAAATAAAAAAAGACATATGTCGAATACTTTCTTTGGACAATGTACATACCTATGTACGAATCCAGTTCCTTGTAACTTTTTATTGATAATTCTGTGCTTCCACTGCCGGCTATTTGCTTTGCGTGACCATTCGAAAGTTAACATTTTTCTTATTGTAAAAGATGAATGAAACTTGTTGGATGATTTGGACACTACAACTTGCTGACTACATAAGTCTGCCTATAAAATACATATGGACTTATATCATATATTCGTACACACACGCATGAAAATGTTTATATGCACAAGTGCGTAAAAAAGTATTGAACAACAAAATCATAAGAGAAGTTAGAAATGTGGGTCAAATCCACAACGCAAGGCACGCGACACCGACACCAATACCAGCATAGATAAATTTGCCGGCAGACTGTTGCGGCGGCCACTGCACTTCACTGACGTTGTTTAAGCACATTTGGCGTCTCAGCGGCGCCTACTACGAAAACCACAGCAGGACGTGAGACAAGTAGGCAGTGTTGAGACAGCAATTTCAGCAACTAGCTTATAAATGTTTTGTTTGTGTGAAGTGCAGGAACCGAATAAATATTTTGTATTTGTAGTGCAAATCAATTGCGAAAAATACCATATGTTTACATACATACATAACTATCGCCTAGATGAGATGATAATCACATGTGTGTATATACAAATTAATTGCTGATCTGCGAGCTATTTCTTAAAATTTATAAAAATTGCTTAAAATTGAAATAAATAATTCCTTTTCGGTTATGAGCAGTTTCGTTTGCGTTCTTAACCATATAAAGTTTGCACATGGTTCGCTTACTTATCTTATCGCTAAGTGTTTATAACATATGTAGTATGTATGTATGTACATAACCTGTCAAACATTGCAAAATCTACGAAAAAGAAAACCGGCCGGCCACGGTATGCACGCAAGCAGGTAAGCTTACATGTATGTACAGAGATTGCAAAGCAAACGGGGAAAATACTCAAGTGCACAGCGAGTGAAAAAACCGCGTGAGCTGTTCAGTAATTTCATTTACATTTTTCAATTATTTTATAGCGTGTCAATTCAAAAAATTGTTTATTGGAACGTGCAATACTCAAAATTTTTATACTTTTATTGATTTGACCTAACGATGTTTCTATTGTATAAATTTAGTATTTATTAATATTATTACGATATGATACATTCCATTCATTTATATCAATGGGTCGAGCGGGCGTTGTCCCTTGCTCATACATATTGCTCATAACACCCAGGCACACATACATACATATATTCCTACATATGTAGTATGTACATGCTTGTCTCTTCGCTTCTTACGTTGCTTCTTCTTAAATGTCTGATTTGCGCAATATTTCAGTTGTCTCTGTAAAGCGTGTTATTTGTTTAACACTTCGCTTATATATTATTAAATTTTTTACATTACTCCTTTGTCACCTACTTCTACTCGCTTTAACGGTTTGCATTTACCTTTTTTTTATCAGTGTAGATATCAACCGCTCTCAGCATTAGTTGAGTTTAATTTTTCTTTTCTACGTGTACGTATTATTTCTACCCCGCCCAAAAAATAACATGTCTGATTACGTAATTAATTATTTAATGTTTGTATTTACCACACGTATTTCGGATCATTGGGTCCTACATTTTACTTATTTATGTTGTCATAAACTTTTTTCAGATTGTTTAGTTATTATTATTTTTTTTTTGGAACAATCAAATTTAAAAGAAGTAGGCGTGTCAATTAAATTATGCTTTCTTCACAGTTTTTTTTGTATGTTAAAAACTATTGAATGATCCTGAGAATTATAACTTCAGTAGTAGAATATTTATTTTTATTTAAGAGCGTTGAAAAATGACAAACATATTTTTTTTGCTATGATATTAACATACTCAAAATCAGGACTGCAAATAATTCATAAAAAATATTTTGAATAAACAGTTAATTATTTTTTTATGTTGTAATCCCAAAAATCTTAGTTAAAAATAATGTTTAAATTTGTAATTCCAAATATAAATTTAAAATAAAATAAAAATTAAAAATAAAATGAAAATACAATTATAAAGAATATGTATGTACATATTAGAACTCTTGGTGTTCGACTAACCGGATTAAATGGATAGGGCATTATTCGAATAATAATATTCGGTTTGCACTACCCTGTTAGTCGGAAGTTGTCGACTATTCGATTGTCTGCTCATTTTCAAATATGCGGTTAACCGTAACTATTCGAATAGTAAGCGTACATTCAAAAAAAAAAAGGCACAAAAGCTGCTTCGATTTCAGACAATTTTCATTTATTCAC